GGGCTGGAGCAAGATAATAGTCTTTGCAGGAAAAGCAAAATTCATTGTGACCTCCACACAGGAGTTCTAGGTTTTCTTTTTTTGTTTTTGTTTTTTAAATTTTATTGAATAACCATGAGATAGTTACAAGCTTTCATGTTTGGGTTACAATTGTTAGGGTCCGAGCTCAGGACAGCCTCACCTGTCAAGGAAAACTCTGAGAGACCAAGTCCATGCCAAAGCAAGAGGTTTATTCGAGCATGCTCGGGCTCACAGCATGACCGCAAACCATCAGTGACTGAGAGCCTCTTCAAAGGGGGCTTTTTATAGGGCATCTTCCCGCGCATGTCAGAAAGTCCGCGCACAAATCACCCAATACATTTGAATTATCACATTAGAAGCTGCACACAGGCAGCCAATCATTTTGCAACAAGGCATCAGCACCAGCCACTCTCTCCTGTACCTGTCACCAGGCCCTCCCAACAGGCAGTCAATTAGGCCTTTTCATTAGGCCTTCTCTGACCTTGTGGCCTTATCTGGCAAATTACAGGTGCAAGGAGGAGATGGGGGTACTTGGTGTTGCTAGCCTGCCGCAGCTGCAGGACGGGATATGGGCTGGGACTTGCTTTGCTAGGGCCCAGTTGTCATGGGGCTATCTTTCACAATCCCACAATGATTAAACACCCATCCCTCCACCAGTGCACATTCCCCACCACCAATGTCCCCAGTATACCCCCCCCTTTCCCACCCTCCCACTGCCTCCATGGCAGACAATATTCCCCATATTCTCTACTTTGGGGCATTTTGGTTTGCAATACAGACACTGAGAGGTTATCATGTTTGGTCCTTTACTTTCAGCACACATCTCCCATCACGACCGATTCCTCAAGCCATCATTTTCTTAGTGATCCCTTCTCAATTCCAGCTGCCTTCTCCCCTCCACTCATGAGGCAGGCTTCCAGCTATGGAGCAATCTTCCTGTCCCGTGTATCCTCTATCCTTAGGTGTCAGCTTCGTGTTACGTTGTTTTATACTCCACAAATCAATGCAGTCCTTCTATGTCTGTCCCTCTCTTTCTGACTCATTTCAGGAGTTGCAGGTTTTACAGGTTTATCTTAATAGTGAAGTAAAATAGTTTTAATTTACAAAAATATGAAGGTGTGGGGAGAGAGAGAGCAAGAGAGAAAGCAAGACAGAGAGAGAGAGAGAGAGAGAGAGAGAGAGAGAGAGAGAGACATACACATACACACACAGACAGAGAACTATGTGTTTGCTAAAGTTTTTGGCAACTTTGTCTTCCTTTTCCCCCCATCAAAACTTAACCTTTCTTCAGGGAAAGCTACATAATGGACCGCTCTCAGGAGCCAGAGAGAAATAGTATAGGGTAAGGGGTTTTCTTTGCATGCGGCTGACCCAGGTTTGATTCCTGACACCCCAGAACGATCCCCTGAATTCACGAGGAGTGATCCCTGAGCACAGAGCCAGAAGCAAGCCCTAAGCACAGCCAGGTGAGGTGTGGCCTCAAACCAAAATAAACAGGTTCAATAAAAAGGATAGGGCAGAAGTTTGGAGGGTGTGACGGTCTTCCTGGAGAAGCAGCCCACTGCATTCTGCCAGCCCCGGTCAGAGGCCTCAGAAACCACAGTAAAGCCCATTTCGACCTATAGCCTCCTCGGTCTGTTACACACTGAAATACGGCGTTTCTCCATGTTCTGTACATGTCCTTAGATATGCATGCTTCTTGTTTCCCCTCATGAATACAAATACCTATGAGTTCCTGGAAAACTATTAGAATATTGTAAGTTGTTACAGCACTCTGCCACTGCTGGGCTTACACCAGACCCTCAACTCGCCCTCCCGTGCTGGTGGACAGTCCCCCCGCCCCCCCCCCCCCAAGCTGTTTCTTTGCCAGTGAAGCTCTCTTCTCCTCAGTACTTTCTATGTATTTTCTAGGACTGCATGTTCAAGAGAACAAGGATTTCTCCAGAGGGGAAATCCTTGTCTTAACCACTGTAGGTGAACCTGCCGGCTGCTTGCTCTTAGAAAGGTAGCACTGTAGTGGGACTTTTCCAAACCGCCCCATGTGCCCTGTCTGGGCTTTGTGCTAGGCTGTGGCCAATGGGAAGAATCTTCAACTCTTTTTTTTTATAAGTGTATAAACTTTATTACAGACAGGCCTATGGATTTATTTCTTCCTGGACACACCCACGGTGCGGCCACAGTGTCCAGTGGTCTTGGTGTGCTGGCCTCTGACACAAAATCCCCAGAAGTGGCACAGTCCCCAGTGAGCCCGAATCTTCTTCAGTCTCTCCAAGTCTTCCCAGAGCTTGTTGTCCAGATCGTTGGCCAGAACCTGTATTTCCCAGCCTTGACGTCCTTCTGTCTATTCAAGAACCAATCGGGAATCTTGTGTTGGTGAGGATTCTGCATAATGGTGATCACACATTCCACCTCATCCTCGGTGAGCTCTCTGGCCCTCTTGGTGAGGTCAATGTCTGCTTTCCTCAACACCACATGAGCATATCTTCGTCCCATACCTTTAATAGCAGTGATGGCAAAGGCTATTTTCTGCTGCCCAAGATGTTGGTGTTGAGTACTCGCAAAATGTGCTGGAACTTCTAGATCACTAGAGACACGGCAGCAGCACAGCGACTGCGTGTAGGCCCTGCGTGGAAGCTCAATTCTTTTTTTTTTTTTGGGTCACACCCAATGATGCTTAGGGGTTACTCCTGCCTCTGCACTCAGGAATTACTTCTGGCAGTGCTTGGGGGCCTATGGGATGCCCGGGATGGAACCTGGGTCAGCCTCATGCAAGGCAAATGCCCTCCCTGCTGGGCTGTCACTCTGGCCCCCTCAACTCTTGATGGTATTTTACGTGTGTGTGTGTGTGTGTGTGTGTGTGTGTGTGTTTTGTCTTGTTCAGTGGCGCTCACAGGCTACTCCTGGCTCTGTGACCCCCAGCCAAGCTTGGAGGATCATATGCAGTGCTGGAGACTGGAACCTTGGGTCAGCCACATGCAAGGCAAGAGCTTTAACCTCTGCACTATCTCTCTAGCCCCTTTTCTATAATCTTCACACGATCTTTTGTTTTTCTTTTTTGAGGTGAGGCCCCTTCTTATCTGGGTAGTGCCTCTATGCCTTCCGGCTATTTTTCAGGGCTGGTGACTTGGCTGCTTCTTTAAATCACATCTTAAGTTTTATTTCTTCCTAAGGTCTCATTACCAGGGGTCCTCCCTGATATGTATTGCCATAGCAGGGGAGCTGGAATATGAAACTGACCCAAAGAAATTCAGAGCAGCAAACGCCTCTAGACAGGGATATTCAGCGGCATCATTCACCCCACCCCCGTCCCAGACGCCTAAAGACGGTTCTCATTTTATCTTTCCTGCCCAAAGCAGCTAACTTTGGTAGACAAGAAAGGGTGTGTCTGAGAGAATCAGAGCACTAGGAAATCTTATTGTTCATTCTGGCGCCCATTGGTCTGCAGTCTGAAGCCCACCACTGCCCTTTCTCTGTATAAAAACTGCCTCTTGGCCAGAGCAGTAGTATAGCGGGTAGAGCACTTACCTTGCCCACAGCCGAACTGGGTTCCATCCCTTGCACTTGAGCCTTCCCTGAATGATCCCCCAGTTTAGGGCCAGGAGTAAATCCTGAGCAGGAGTAAATGCTGAGCACAGTCCTGAATCAGAAGTAGGCCGGAGGGGCGGGAACGATAGGACAGCGGGCAGGGCGTTTGCCTTGCATGTGGCTGAGTTCGATCCCCAGCATCCCATATGGTCCCCCAAGCACCACTAGGAGTAATTACTGAATGCAGAGGGCCAGGCGTAACCCCTGAGCATCGCCGGATGGCCGGGTGTGACCCAAAAGGCCAAAAAAACAAGTAAGCCTGAGTCCCACCCCCCACAGCCCCTGTAACTTTTCAATTGTGAAAACGTTCTTTCACAGAATAAATTTCAAGATCTAATTGGCCTTATTCATTTCTCAAAGGGAGTTGCTTGTTCCTTCAGGCAATCAGAAAGCTTCTAAGGAGGGTTTTAGGAAACAGGTTATTATACTCAGGAAAGAGTGGGACGAAGTTATTAGCAATAGAAAAGAGAGCTGTTTTCACCAAGGGGGTGAAGTGGTGGGTGTCTTATCATGCAAATTAAGTATGCAGATGCTGATCTGGAGATTCCAGACTCTTAGATTTAAAAAGAAAAATACCCAAACTGAAGAAATATTTGTAACCCCATCTAGTAATCTGGGTTGTCCTCCAAACAAACTCAGTTTTCACTAGGGCGTTACAAACATTCTGGTCTGGTTCCCGAGGGTTCAAGCGGGAACGCTGTCCTAACCCAACACGGACCCGGCGGCCAATCGGGCGCCGGCCACAGCTAAACCGGTCGGCTGGATTGTGTCCGGACTTCGACCCTGACCTCAGCCCTTCTGGGAGATTAACCTCGGCCACGCACGTCTGCGGGTGATGGGGATGCCACGTGCTGACAAATGGACAGCAACGAGACGGCGCATCAAACAAGCAAGAAGCGAGGTCCTGCTTCGAGGTTCCCCCGCGTTTTTGTGCAGAGTCTGATGTTCCCCACAGGGTCAGGGAGCAGAAACAGAGGGTATTTCCAACCAAGGCAAGCACAGGCGCTGCGGGGCACGGCCTGCACCCCAACCGGGCGAGAGCGGAGGCGGGAGGGCCGGGGCGACAGCACAGCGGGCAGCTGCCTTGCACACGGTCGATCCAGGTTCGACCCGGGCAACCTTATAGGCCCGCAGGGTACCGCCGGGTCAGACCCCCGAGCGCAGAGGCAGGAGGGGGAAACCCCTGAGCGCGGCTGCGGGCTGCCTAAAAGCCCAAGCCCGGAGTCTGGCGGCGGGAGCGCGCCCCGGAAGAAGCCCCGCCCCGCTGACGCTGGGGGCGTTTCTCCCGGGACGCCAGGCGGGGATTTTTTTTGGGGGGGGGGATGCGGGTTGTTTGTTGTGGCGTCACCAAAGCGTTTGTTGAGGTTGCCAAGGGCACGTCTGTCCCCCTGCGACTCGGGCCCACGCACGACACGGGAGGGGCGGACTTGGCACGCCGGGACACGGCGCGGGAGAGCCGGGACGCGCGCGACCGCGCCCCCAGGTCGGGAGAAACGGAAGCGCCGTTCCGGGGGCGGGGCGCGGCGTCGGGGCGGAAGCTGCGGCGTGCCCCGTGCGTCGGGGCGGAAGCTGTGGCGTTTGCCCGAGGGTCGGGGCGGAAGCGGCGCCGCGCGGCCAGCGTCGGGGCGGAGGCGATGCGCTCCCGGAGCGGCGGCCGGGAGTTGGTTTCTTGCGGCTCGGGGAGCGTCCTCACCGGGTAAGCGGGGACGCGGGACCCGGCGCCGCCTGCCGCCGCGCCGCCCGTCCCGATGCACCGTCTGCCCCGCCGCCGCGGGTCTGCGTGTGCCTCGGGAGCTCGGTGCAAACGTCCACTGACTTTCTTACCCGTCCTGGGTTCTGCGCACGGACAGACCCGGCACCGTCCTGGGCCGCGCCGCGGGGGCCGCGGGGAGCCTTTCCCCCCGCGCCCCTTTGTCTTCCCGGCGCCTCCGCCGCGCCCTGCCCTGCCCCGCGGCCCGGCGCACTGTTGAAGCCCCGGCCGCTGGCGTTGCCCGCTCCGTGAGTCGTGATGAGAACGCGGCTCTTTCCCCTGTAGGTCCCGCCGTTGACTATGCCCGGGTAGCATGTCGGGATGGCCCTCTCCCAAGACGCCGTCCCGTCCCTGTCGGACTGCCAGTGCCAGATCTGCGTGGGAATCCTCATTGAGCCCGTGACCCTCCCTTGCAACCACACGCTCTGCAATTCCTGCTTCCAGGCGACGGTGGAGAAGGCGAGTCTGTGCTGTCCCTTCTGTCGCCGCCGGGTCTCGTCGTGGACCCGGTACCACACCCGGAGGAATTCGCTCATCAATAAGGAACTGTGGGAGATCATTCAAAAACATTACCCGGAGGAATGCAAGCTGAGAGCGTCTGGACTCGAATCCGAGGGGTTTGGTGAGTCACGTCCAGTCCAGCCTGCGCTTCAGCTGCAGCTGAAGTTACAAACTGCAAACAGGTTAAGACGTGGTGAACTAGCACTAGATCTTTTTCTTTCCTATTTTAGAGGAGAAAAATTCAGACCAGTCTTTGGAGTTTGGGCTTTATGGGGCTCCAAATCGCGATTACCACCAGTGGCAAGATTGGTTCTTTGTTGCAATATCCAGGCTACGTTACATTGATTAGAAACGGGGAGAATTAAAAATGGCAACAAAAAAACTCTGCAAGATTTGCCTGAGTAGAGTCAACAGTCGTGGGAAAACTTATGTAAATCAATGAGCAACGGTCATTAGTACAGCAGCAGAAATCAGCTACAGGACTCACATGTTTCTGTTTCTTTGTTTCTTTTTCTCTAATTTACCTGTCTATACATAATTTACGTCTACTGAATTCTCCTACACATGCAATGAGACTAATTTAAATTTTTTGTTTTGGGTCACACCTTGTAATACTCAGGGCTTACTCCTGACTTTCCTGATGAGGTTGACAGGGACAGACCAAAGTGGGTGGCAAGGATCAAACCAAGGTTGACCTTGTGTAAGACAAACACCCCACCTGCTATACTGTAATTTTTATTACCAGTTCCTTCTGCTATTGTCATTTTTATTCTAAGGCAATGTAGATTGGAGTTTCTCGGTTTGCTCCAAAGTAAATGCTTGACTCTTGACATGTTGGGTCACTTGGGTCACCAGTAATCTAGGCCGTGTTTCTTGTCTCGGCCATATATGCCTGTGATCGAGTATATTTGCCTGTTATCGTTGAGTTTTGGTTTGGGGTGCACGGGGCAGGGAGGTGCTGGGAATCGAACCCAGGGCCTCATATAAAAGGTGACTGTCCTCCCACTAAGCCACATCCCCTGCTCTGTAGTTGCCTTAAAAAAATTGTTTCTGGGGCTGGAGCAATAGCACAGCGAGTAGGGCGTTTGCCTTGCATGCGGCCAACCCGGGTTCGATTCCCAGCATCCCATATGGTCCCCTGAGCACCGCCAGGGGTAATACCTGAGCGCAGAGCCAGGAGTAACCCCTGTGCATTGCCAGGTGTGACCCAAAAAGCAAAAAAAAAAAAAAATTGTTTCTATAGTGGTAAACTTGCTATTCACATCACATACGTAGTTACCTTTCATTAAAATCTTTATAATTCCTCCATTTAATGTATACAACTCATGCTGACATTAAGTACTTCCATCACCAGTTTTCTGATACATTTTTACCATCTCAAATAAATTCTATTTTTTGGGGGGTTTTGCTTTTGTGTCACAACAGGGGGTGCTGAGTGCTTAGGCCTAGCTCTGTACTCAGGGATAAAAGTCCTGGTGGGTTCCGGGGTCCTGGGGATTAAACCCGGTCCAATTGCATATAAGGTAATAGTACCCGCTGTACTATTACACGAGCCCCAAATTATTTAACCTCTAACAATGACTCCCTGTTCTTCTCACTTTAGTTTCTTGGTTTTTTTTTTTTTTGTCTACGAATTGTTTTGATCTCTCATGAGAAAAGATTAGAGCGTTAGATCAACGGACTGTGTGCATTGCATGCAGGAGGTCTAGGTTCAATCCCCAGCCCTGCATGGTCCACCAGCACTTCTGGGTGTGGCCCCCAAATCCCTGCCCCCTCCACTGATTTTCATGTAAGTGAATTTACATGAATTTACTATGTGTACTTTTTTGGGGATTTTTGTTATTGTTTGTTTGTTTTTGTCTTTCTGGGTCACACCCGGCAAAAGTATACAAAATATATACTTTTTGTATCTGATTTCCTTAAAAATCTTTTTTTTTTTTTTTTTTTTTTTGGTGTCACACCTGGCAATGCACAGGGGTTACTCCTGGCTCTTCACTCAGGAACTACTCCTGGCGGTGTTCGGGGGACCATGTGGGATGCTGGGAATCGAACCCGGGTCAGCTGCATGCAAGGCAAACGCCCTACCCGCTGTGCTATGGCTCCAGCCCCATTTTTTTTTTAAATCTTTTTTTTTTTTTTTGTATCTGACTTCCTTAAGTCAACGTCACAATATTGCTGATATGCACACTCTGTCAGTACTGCATTCCTTGTTTCTGGGGTTGGGGTTTTGGGGCCACATCTGATGGTGCTCAGTAGGACCTTACGCAGTTCTAGGGATCAAACTGGTGAAAACATCATACAACTTTATTAATCTGAAGCTACTTTTCACTTTTTTTGTTTTTGTGTCACACTTGGCGATGCTGAGGGCTCACTCTGGTTCTGCATTCAGGAATCACTCCTGGTGGGGCTTGAGGGGAACCGTATGGGATGCTGGTGATCAAACCTGGGTTGGCTGGTACAAGGCAAGCGCCCTATTATCTCTCTGGTCCATGAAGATATTTTTAATTTGATTCACCATTTCTTGGTTGCTGCAAACCCTTATTTTCTGATAGTATTGGCTCTGGTTGATTTTGCATGTTCTTTGCTGTTTCCACGGAGTGACGGGAGCTTAGAGCGGCTAACTTTGCTGCTTGGGTGACCGCACTTGGCCAGCCTCCTCTTACTGGGGCCAGAGAAATAAGTACAGCAGGTACTTACTGCTTTGCACCTAGGTAACCTAGTTTGATCCCAGGCTCTGCATGTGTTCCCCTGATCCCTGCCAGGATTGATCCCTGAGTACAGTAGCCAGAAATAAGCCCCAAGCACAGCAAGGTGAGTGTCCCCACCCCCAACTCCAAATGAATAAGTAGCACTGCACTGTAGCAGCACTGTCCTCCCGTTGTTCATTGATTTGCTCGAGCGGGCCCAGTAACGTCTCCATTGGAGACTTTGTTGTTACTGTGTCTGCCATATCGAATACGTCTAGGGTAGCTTGCCAGGCTCTGCCGTGTGGGCGGGATACTCTCAGTAGTTTCCTGGGCTCTCAGAGAGGGGCAGAGGAAGTAGATAAATAAAATTGCCATTGTTAGGTAGGCCTGAGGATAACCTAGTGGCAGAGAAGTGTGAGGCCGCGGGTGATTCCCCACCACCCTACATACCCAGGCCTGGTCCGAGCACCGCAGTGAATCTGCAGTTGGGTGTAGTGCATGCATGGGCAGATATGTGTGGTCCCAGCGAGCACTGTAGCCAAGTCATAAGTCCTCAGCACTGAGAAAGAAGGGAAAGGGATAAGGATTGAGGAATATAATTGCCATTGTTTTCAAGAATGACTTTATGCTTGAACTTGCTATATTATATGTGTGAAGTCAGTTGTTTTGGAGGATAATCTTTGGATAAATAAAAAAAATTTTTTTTTGAGCCATGCCAGGCAGTATGCAGGGGTTACTGCTCCCAGCTGTGCTTAGGGGACCATGAAAGATCTGGGGATCAGGCTCAGCGCCTCCTGACTGTGGGGTATGTGCGCTGCCCATTGAGCCATCTCCCAGGCCCTAGACTTCACCATTCTTAAGATGCTCCTCTGTCTGGAGCCGGAGACTCCAGCAGTGGCTAGCTTCTGCACTAGGAATGCTGTAGTGGGCACACTTAATCTTCTCTGGAATCTTTGACTGAGTCGTGATGGGGCCCCACTTTTCTTTACTTGCTGTACCTAATATGTAAATGGGGTGGGGGCAGAGCGATAGTACAGCGGGTAGGGCATTTGCCCTGCACGTGGCCGACCCAGGTTTGATCCCCAGCATCCCAAATGGTCCCCTTAGTATTTCCAGGAGTGATTTCTGAGTGCAGAGCCAGGAGTAATCCCTGAGCATCGCTGGGGTGTGACCCAAAAAGTGGAGAGGAAAAAAAAAAGAAAATGGGAAGATGGGGGAGGAAGGGAGCCCACAGTTTCCCAACTCTACTTGCCTGGATTTGGGCCTCTGCATCATTGAACTGAAATGTATTTAAAATACACATATACATGCATGCACACACGCACGCACGCACGCAAGCAAGCATTTTGGGACAGAGATGATGCAAAGGGTTGGAACACGTGCCTCGCTGTGGAGTTCCCACGCATAAGAGCTGTCCGGACTGGCCCAGGGGCTGCACCAGTGACTGAACTTCTTGCAGTCTCAGCTTTGCACAACAGGTGCTCTTTTTTTTTTTTTTTTTTTTAGCGAAATAAATAATTTTATTTGGAGGGTCTTTGAGGTGTGGAGGGGCAGAGAGAGAAGAGAGAGGAAGGAAGGAAGGGAGGGAGGGAGGGAGAGAGGAGGGAGGGAGGGAGGGAGGGAGGGAGGGAGGGAGGGAGGGAAGATAGCTTCTCCAGGGGCGGAGAAAGAGCCCTTGGAGAAGACACATCCCAGCATTGGACACGAAAGCATGAAAGTACACATCTCAAGAGGGAAGATGCAGGCGACATATGTGCTCGGGCACCATATGTTGGTATGTTGCTCGGCCACTTGGGCCCAAGCAAGCTCTTGGGCTCGAGCAGCATATGTGCCACAACAGGTGCTCTTGTCATGAGCCACCCTGTGGCCCCATATTTCTCCGATGACTAGAGATATTGAACATCTTGGGTTTGTTGGCCATTTGTACCTGCTGAATTCAGTATTATTATTTTTTAGAAATCTGTGTGAAAAACTTGGTTTATTGTTAAGTTGGTATTCTTTATATAGTCTTCATATTAATGTGATATGCAAATATTTCCTACCACTCTTTGTGGATTTAATTTTTTTGGGGGGGTGTGGTTTGGAATTTGAGCTACTCCTGAACGTGCTCAAGGGCAGTTCCTGGCTCTGCCCCACAGGACCATGTTTTCCCAGTGTATATCAAACTAGTCAGCCATGTGTGAGGCTGACATTCAGCCCCTGTTTTGATTTTTATGACACATTGACTTTATTTTTTTAAAAAAGTGAACACTGTAAAAGAAAACTTAAAAACATACTATTCCCAGTTGTGTGCAGTGATTCAGTGTCCTCCACATGCAGAATCCCAGTATCTGTAGTAGCCAGGTATGTTCTGAGCTGAGGCTGGAAAACTGGTACATTTGGTTTACATCTGTTTTTTGTTTTAGTTTATTTTTGGGTTTTGGACAACAGCTGGCAGTGCTCAGGGCTTAGTCCTGGCTCCACGCTCTGGGATTATACCCAGCACTGCTCTGGGGGACCATCTGGGATGCCAGGGGTTGAACATCCTCTTTTGTAAATGAAGTTTTACTGAAACATAGAGATGTATACAACTGCTGCTATGCGACCACAGTTAAGCGTGACAAGTTACATCAGCTACCAAAAGAAACTATTATCTTGTCCAAATAAAAAAAGTTCCTTCTTCACCTCTTAGTGACATCGATGTCATGTTAACTGGGGTTGCGTACATGCCTGATGGGTGCTCTCTGAGCACACACTCACTCAGCTGTGGCCTGGCAGGTTTGCCTCCTTTACTTGCAGTTTTCGCTCGCCAGGGTTGGCACATGGGTAAAGCACACAGGTTACAGTGGTGGGAGTTTTCATGCAGTTCTCACACACATAATGCGGCTTGGCTCACAGTTCCTTGCTGCAGCTGTTTCAGCCCCAAGGCACTTGCAATTCCATGGATCGAAAACAACTGCTTGGCACATATGAGGCACCAGGGATTAAACTTGGGACCGTATAATTGCAAGGCACTGCATCCTTGGACCCCAGCATCCAGTCACCAGCCAGGTTGGCCAAGAATTGCTGGAACAGTGGATGAGCGGTAGTACATGCTTGCTTACATGTGGCCATGGTCCACAGATGGACTCCCGGCTCTGCCAGGAGTAATCCCTGAGTGCAGAGCCAGGTGTAAACCCTGAGCACCACTTGTGGGGTAATTCTCCCTCCCAAAATACTGATCAACTATGTTAATAATCATACATTTGACTGTCATTTTCTGTGTTTAGGTTTATGGTTTTAATAGAAAATCAAAGCTAGTCATGAAATTCTGTTGCCCAGGACCGGAGAGATGCAGGCTGGTGCGAATGCTGTGCAGACAAGAGGCTCAGGTTCCTTTGGTGGCACCCTGTGGTCCCCTGAGCACTGCTGGGCGTGACGCAGAGCAACAAGCCTAGAGTAGCCTTTTGAGCCCCCCAGGTGTGGCACAGAAATCAGGAAGAAAAAAACAATTCTGTTACCTATAATATTTTCTTTCTTGATCTGAAACAGTTGATGACTGTTGCCCAGTTCGCCTGATAAGTAAGCCCGGGGAATTGAGGAGAGAATATGAAGAGGAGATAAGCAAGGTACGTACTGTGCTGTTAGCGCCTTGATGAGTCTCTGGAGTGTTTTCAGTTTCAGATTTTACAGAAGGTTTTCAATGTACTTTTATTACAAGGTCCCAGTTTTAACTTGTGTTCTCATAGTTACCACCTGAGGCTGATTTATTTATACAGAATTGTTATTTTTGTTTTGGGGCCACGTCCGGTGATGCTCAGGGGTTATTCCTGGCTCCGCACTCAGGAATCAGTCCTGGTAGTGCTCGGGGGACCATGTGGGATGCCGGGGGTCAATCCCTGGTCAGCCTCATGCAAGCAAGTGCCTACCCACTGTACTATTTCTCTAGCCCCAAGATTGATGTCCTTATGGAAATGGTGATTCTGAAGAAATTTAAGTCTGAAAGCCTTTTTTTTTTTTCATTTCTCTGAAACTTTGAACTAAAATGGCAGAAAAGCACGTACCATGTGTGATGCAGTCTGGGCTGCCGTAGTAAGAAACCCATACGTTGGGTGACTTACGCATTTATCACCTAAGCTATAAACCTGCATTCCTTTCATTTCTGGGTGCTGGAAATCCAGGATCTAAATGGCAGATCTGATATTCGGTCTGAGGGGCCTTTTCCTGGTACACTCACCTAGCACTGAGAGATGGGAGAGAGAATTCTCATGCTTCTTTTTCTGTTTGGTTTCGAAACCACAGTCCCCCCAGAACACTTGCTCACATCTTATGCCAGCTTCTGTCAGAGGGATCCCCCCTCAGGCTGAGAGCAAGATAGATGGTCAACACCGAGGGCAAGTGTTACCTCGAAGTACTTCCCCAAATGGGTGCCAGGGTAGTAGGAACTGTGGTGAGAACTGAGGCCAGGAGGGGGAAGCCTCAATGCAGGTGTCACCAGGCTGACTGGGGCAGGCTTCCTCAAAGAGGACTTTGCCTCCAGATCACGACTTCACTTGGGATATTTTGATAGTTGCCAGTCTCCTTTTATTTCTCCTCTTTTTATTCAAAAATACTGCAACTAAGGTAAAAGTGCAGTGGATTTTAAAAGTACAATCATTTCAAAGGTGGCAGCAGAACGACGGGCCAGTGAGGAAGAAGAAAAGAAAGCCAGCGAAGAATATATCCAGAGGTTACTGGCAGAGGAGGAGGAGGAAGAAAAAAGGCAAGCAGAAAAAAGGCAAAAAGAGCAAGAGCAACAACTGAAAGATGATGAAGAACTGGCGAGAAAACTAAGCACTAATCTTGTAAGTTCTAGGACAGAGCATTGAAGAATTAGTTTTCTGTTGCCCTAATGTGACGAGCTTTCTCCCCGGTGGTGAGTCTGGTCAGTGGGAAGCTGCCGAGGGGAAGGGAAGGGAAAGCTTTCCCTGCCCTCCGCTGCCCATGCCAGTCCTGTGCTGCCAGGCTTCCTTCCCCACAGGGTACCACGGCTGCCAATCTCTGACAGCTTTTGCATTTTTTTTAAAGTAAAAATAGCTTTGCCTTAGAAATTCAAAGAGGAGGAGATGAGAGAGAGAGAGAGAGAAATGAGAGAACACGGGCTTCTCCGGAGTGGATTGGGAGTTCACCCCCAGCATGCAAGCTGGAAGTCTGAAGCGCGTGTCTTAGGCGGGGAGATGTGGGACACGTGTGCTCGGGCACCGCATAGCTGGCAGCGGCAGAGGCTCTCGGCAGCAGACGCGCCAACTTCTTTTTCTTATTTGCCCAAAAAGAATGCATCAGTTACACCATATCACATACAGTCTAGCTAAAAAGTTCATAAGGCACTTAGCATGACTGTTTTAGAGGCAGTTTCAAGCTTCTTGAAAGTATGTTTCAACACCCTGCCAAAGCTCAAGGCCCCTAGCCTTGGCCGCCGTTTGATTTCCATGCGTCTTGTGTGTTCTGTGCTTTACCTCTCTGTATTGTGTGTATGAGTGAGAGCACCCAGTATTTGTCTTTGTTCTTTTTCACTTTATTTTTCGGTTTTGGGTCAGACCAGGCAGTGGGGGCTTCCTCCTGGCAGGGCTCAGAGGAGCAGAGGTGGTGCTGGAATCAGACTCAGACCCACCTGCTGCCCTGTCTCGTCAGCCTCTTTTTTATTGCTTGTTGTGGGGCCATACCTGGCGGGGCTGGGGATTGAATCCTGGGCCTCCTGCATGCCGAGAATGTGCTCTAGTTCTTGGGCTCACCTCCTCATCTTATCTTGGGTTTTGGTTTGGGGGTGACACATGGCTGTGCTCGGGGCTCACTCCTGGCTCTGCCTCACCCATCTCTCCTGGCAGCAACCAGGGGACCATCAGCAGTGCTGGGAATCGAACCCAGGCTGACTGTGCCAGGTAAGCACCTGACCCTTGTACTGTCCATGGGCCATCCTTCTGACTTGTTTCGCTTAACAATGCCCCTTCCATTTTCATTCATGTTACTGCGAAAGGCGAGATTTTATTATATTCCCGCCATATTTTCTTTATCCTTTTGTGTATTGTGATATTTGTACTGTTCCCATAGCTTGGTTAGAGCATATAATGCCACAGCGAACATAGGAGTGCATATGTATCTCATTTGGGGGCTGGAAAGCTAGTTACAGGGGTTAAAGCTAAGAATCTGGGGCTGCTTTCCTTGTGTTGACTGACTCCACTTCAGTTCCCAAAGAACCACCTGGGGTCACTCCTGGGCAGAGCCCGGAAAAGTCCCTGAGCACCCCAAACTCCTCCCCCAACATATAAAGAGTGGCATAATAATTTCATCATATGAAATTCATTTTTTTTTCAACGAAGCACATTAAATCCTTTAGTATAGTTAAACTGGATTTCCTGGGCTGGAGCGGTAACACAGTGGTAGGGCATTTGCCTTGCATGCAGCCGGCCCAGCTGAGCCGGGTTTGATTCCTCCGTCCTTCTTGGAGAGCCTGGCAAGCTACCAAGAGTATCTTGCCTGCACGGCAAAGCCTGGCAAGCTACCTGTGACGTAGTCAATATGCCAAACACAGTAAGTCTCACGGTGGAGACGTTACTGGGCTCACTCGAGCAAATCGATGAATAACAGGAAGACCGCGACCCTGAAACTGGATTTCATAATTTTCCTGTAATTAAGTTACTACCTAGGAGAAAGAAAGAATAATAAAACCAAGACTAGGATATGGTAGTAACTCATGATTTGAAAGACCTTGCAGAATCACTTGGGAATCTTTGAAAAATGCAAATCCTCATGTATGTTCTAAATTTATTGCATGGGATTTAGGAAAACTTTTCCCATTGGCATCCAGGGAGGCCTGGTGTGTGTTCAGGTTTGAGAGCATATTAAGCACGAACCATCTGTTTCAAACAACAGGTATTTTAAAATATACCTTCTAAAGGGAAGTATAGTTGTAATTGGGACTTCGGAGAGGCCTCCCTGGCATTTGTAATGCTATGCCAACATTTGGATTGCTTCCCTTTATATATTCTAGTTTTCTTTTTTCCTTTTTTTTTTCTTTTGCTTTTTGGGTCACACCCGGTGATGCCCAGGGGTTACTCCTGGCTCATGCACTCAGGAATTGCTCCTGGCAGTGCTCGGGGGACCATATGGGATGCTGGGAATCGAACCAGGGTCGGCCATGTTGGCTGCGTGCAACGCAAACACCCTACCTGCTGTACTATCGCTCCAGCCCTCTTTTTTCCGTTTTTAACGCAATTTAAAATTTTTGTTTTTCAGATTTTCATTGTTTAGTAACAAGGTTACTAAATGTTTATGGTTTTGATACACAAAACCACTGCACCCATCTTGGGACTCTGCACACTGTCCTATGTCGCCCCTGGTCTGCTTCTTGTCGCCCCCTCCGCTCCTTCCTGCCTCCACTGCCTGGGAATCTCTTTTGTAATTCAAAGCCCAGGGTTTGTCTTTCTTTAGCACTGCCTGTCCCCTTGTTTGTGTCTATTTATTGCAGGTGAGTGAGATCATCTGCTATTTGTTTTACTCTTTTAAACTCAATTAGAATAGTTTTAGGAAGGCACAGCCAAGAAATCAAAATGTCGATCCATAGAATAATAAATGAAATAGGTAAGAAAATGCATCAAAGAGGAAAATCTGGAAGCAAGGATATGGTGCGGTGCAGGGCACTGTCCTGCGTGTGTGACACCCTGGTTTGGATCCCGGCGACACACACACACACGGTTATTTTTTATCTATTCTTTAGGGGTCTGTTGTTTCCCGTGTTCTTTTCACATGGACATATGAACAAAACTTTTGACTGCCCTATTCTGTTCTAATTATTCTATTTTAGAATAATCTTTGGTTTACTTGTGGTCCTAGATAACACCCCTCACTGATAAGGAGAATGTGTAGGGCCACAGCCTCCAGCACTAGGGGCTGGATCTGACCCCAGGCTGGTGACATGCATGACGTGCTCAACCTTGAGGCACATCCCTGATCCCTCATGGTGCTCATTTTTACTCCATCGCAATAAACTATAACATTGATGATGTCAGGTTATCTATAGGTCTTTGAATTCTCCGTTTTAGATTAAGGTTTGCTCGAGCGGGCCCAGTAACGTCTCCATTGGAGACTTTGTTGTTACTGTGTCTGGCATATCGAATACTCTCGGTAGCTTGCCGAGATTAAGGTAGTAGTCATTATAGAAAACTAGTCCTTAGAATAATTTCCAGAAAGAGTTAGTGAGAATAGTTTTATGGCCCGTCCTCCCCCCGCTTTTTTTGATAAAACTCTTTGTGCTTTGTAATATATAGGAAAAAATGTAATTTTGAGTGACTTCAATGGGCTTAATCTTGTTCATATTTTTACATAGTCAATGTTTTAAAAATGTGAGCATAATTCATAAAAAATAATTCATGTGGATTCTAAATTTTCAAATAGCTTATTATGAAATTTAAGTAACATACTGTGCTTTTTTCTGTGTTAAAGAATAATTTCCATGAGGGAAATATCATGACCTCTCCTATGAATTCCAAAAAATCTGGTACAGTCACAACCAAGTCACAAAAGAAAAGTAAGAACAAACAAACTAGCATTGGAGATATTCAGAAGTAAGTGAACATGATTATTTATTGACCACTTACTGTATGCCTGTATTTTTTTTTTGTTTTCATAATCTACCAATTATCAAAACTTGGTCCATAAACTTTGCATGGAAACTTCTAGATGGTTTGAGAATGATGCTAAATGAGACGTACTCCTCTAGCACAGAGAAAGATGTGAAACTTTTCTGGTTTTGACTACTCAGGATTTCCATAATTGGAAAAGTTTAGAAAATACCACAATCTACACTTCAAAACTTATGCAAAGAATTTTGTTTCAGTTGAGTTCACATTGCAGGTAATTTTTGTCCAAGATTCATAGAAGTTTTTGACACTTGGGAATAGTTGCTTTTAGAAAATGGATGTGGGACTGGAGCGATAGTTCAGCGCGGGTGGGGTGTGCCTGCAGCTGACCTAGGTTTGATCCTGGCATCCCATATGGTCGCCCATCATCACCTGGAGTAACTCCTGAGTGTAGAGCCAGGAGTAACCCCTGAGCATCACCAGGTGTGACCCTCCCTCCCCCCCAAAAAAGGGTAGATGTGATACTGTGATATGACTTGTTACTAATAATGTAACAATTAGAAATTTAAGTCCAGAAAAATACTCCTGTGGAATTGATCACTGAACTGTAAAGAGGTAAGAAATTACTATAAATATAAGAACTAACTAATGGATTTAAAAAATATATAGAAGTGTAGAAACTAATGAGTTAGAGGTTAAAAACAAGGTCCGGAGAGATAGCTCATTGGGCTGGAACATAGACTTTGTATACACAAGGCCTGTGTCCTAGCCCCTGGCACTGCTGAGTGTGGCTCAGAAATTAAAAGAAATAAAGGTACAGACAGCCAGTAAGCACATGAAAGTAATGAAAGTATTCTCAACATTAGTCATTATGGGGAAAATATTCAAACAAATACTTGTGATTAACATTTGTGTCCGCATCAAGACTTACTTTTTTTTTTTTTTTTTTTTTTTTGCTTTTTGGGTCACACCTGGCGATGCACAGGGGTTACTCCTGGCTCTGCACTCAGAAGTTACTCCTGGCAGTGCTCAGGGAACCATATGGGATGCTGGGAATCGAACCCAGGTCGGCCGCATGCAAGGCAAACGCCCTACCTGTTGTGCTATCTCTCCAGCCCCAAGACTTACTTTTATGGTGCTTGTTCTTAGGGTCGGGTAGTGGGCTCATACCTGGCTATTTTGAGGGCTGACTGCTGGTTCTGCTTGGGGGGGACCATTATTTGGTGCTTGGAACCAAACTGGTATTTGTGGTGTGCAGTGCAAATGCCTTAACCCCTGTACTCTATTCTGAGGGGTTACATTTTTTATGACTTGCTTCCATGACTTAGGTAAAGTAGGTAAATACAGAGGCAGAAAACTCAAGAATGGTTTCTGTGGTTAGAGGAAAGTGGGAATGAAGGATGATGCTTAATGGATACGGGATTTCCTTTAGTGACAGAGAAAGAAAATGTTGGGAATTAGAAATGAAGGTTGCACAACTTTTTTTGGTTGTTGTTGTGACACCAGCAGTGTTCAGGGCTCACTCCTGGCTCTGCACTCTGGGAGCACTCCTGGTGGGGACCATATGTGGTGCTGGGGATGGAACCCAGGTTGGCAACATGCAAGGCAAGCACCCTACCTGCTATACTGATGTTCTGGTCCTGCACAACTCTTTGCACACTAAATAGCACTCAGCTATACTTTTTTATGGATTTTAGCCTTAACCTCCTACCATCTCTTCAGCTTCCCAACCCCCAAATTTAGAGTAGTTATCACATGTGATATTTCATGTGGTATTTTGTCTGATTGAAGTTACATAAAAGATGGTTTAGAGGTCCAGGGAGGTAGTCCAGAGGGCTGGAGTACAGGCTTCAAATATTCAGCCCCTGGGGGCTGGAGCGATAGCACAACCGGTGGGGCGTTTGCCTTGCACGCAGCCAACATGGCCGACCCAGGTTCGAGTCCCAGTATCCCATGTGGTCCCCCCGAGCACCGCCAGGAGTGATTCCTGAGTGCACGAGCCAGGAGTAACCCCTGAGCATCGCCTGGTGTGACCCAAAAAGTTAAAAAAAAAAAAAAAACACATTCAGCCCCAACTTGGCTCTTGAGTACTGTGCCAGGAGTAGCCCCTAACCATCCTTGGTTATGGCCCAGAAACAAAAATCATTTGTAATATATGGAAATCATATATATTTATTTTGGAAATCATTTTTTAAAATATTGGTTACATATGAGGAAGCAAACAGGAATGGAAAGGAATATGTATTTCTGTTTACTATTTTTTTTTGGGGGGTGGTCTTTGCACCACATACAGCAGTGCTCAGGGCTTACTCCTGGCTCTGTTCTGAGGGATCACTGCTAGATGAGCTCTGAGGACTATATGGGGTGCTGGGGCTCAAACCCGGGTCAGCACATAGAAGGCAAGTAATACAATACCTGCTGTATTACTGCTCTGGCATTTGTTTACTTTTTTTAAACGAATGTTCAGCATAGGTAACAAATTTTTGTTTGTTTTGAGTCACACCATTGATGCTCTGGGGATACTGCTGGCTAGATTCAGAAATTAATCCTGATCGTGCTTGGGGTCCATATGGGATGCTGGAGATTGAACCCGGGTCAGCTGGTGTCCAGGGCAAGTGCTTTACTCACTGTCCTCTCACTCCAGTCCCAGTGTTAACAAATCTTTATTGATTAAGTTGAATTAAGTATTTGATCTTGGGATTGCAAAAATTATTAAGGCTTCAATATATAATAGCTCTGTCTTGATTCTAATATACTCAGTAACTACTATTCAGTATTAGCAGGTTATTCTTTAGTTTTAGGAAACAAATTAAACTTGGATTCTTTTTTATTAGCTGAATATGTGGTTCTTGCTTATGTTAAGTTTGCTGGGTAAGTAGTTTGTGCTATTCAAGTATGATGTAATTTTTCTAATTTGCCTATGAGACATATTTGTATTTATAGAGATCTTTGTTTTGTACTTGATTATTCTACTTGTTTTTGGAATTCATGGTCTTACATATTACTTGCAATCCATTTTTTCTCTTTTTTTGTTTTGTTTTTTGGGCCACACCCAACAATGCTCAAGGATTACTACTCCTGGCTCTGCCCTCAGGAATCAACTCCTAGCAGTACTTGGGGGACTATATGGAATGCTGAGGACTGAACCTGGGAACCCGCTTTATGATTTACATATTTTTAATTCTTTTTCTGGCCTTATTTTATTAGCACTCAGTCACATTTCATTTGTTTACATATTGAATTACATGTGATAATGGTGTCTCACTCAAGTGGAGAGCACATAGGCTACTTTGAGGGAAAAAAAATGCTTTCTCCTTTCTGCTGGACCTCCCCTCCCCCATCCACCCTGAGCAATACCCAATGTGGTTCAGAACTGGAAAACTCGACTCTGAGCACCTCTACTGACACTCACATCCCACCAGCCTCAGCAGGCGGATATCAAGCTGCGCCTGAAGTTAACTGGCTCTGTAGGAGCCTCCAGTGACAGGCTCACTGTCACCGGATCCCTCAGGAGCCGTGGACTCAGGCTGGAGTGAGGAACTGCTCTTTGCGGGAAAGGAAAGTCAGTCCTAACCTCGGCATTTGGTGTCTTGTGGCCTTCCCTCCCAGAAAAGAATTTCAGGAGGAAATAGTGCAACGAGATAGTTTTTTATTGATGGGGACTGGAGCATAGTACAGTGGGTAGGGCACTTGCATGCAGCAGACCTGGGTTTGATCCCCCACATCCCATATAGTGTCCTGAGCACCGCCAGGATTAATTCCTGAGCCCAGGGTCAGGAGTAATCCCTGTGCACTGCCAAATCAAAAAAAAATAAAAGATAGGGTTGTTTTTTTTTGTTTCTTTGTTTTGGGTCACAGCTGGCAGGCTCAGGGGTTACTCCTGGCTCTACACTCAGCAGTCACTCCTGACAATGCTCAGGGGACCATATGGGATGCCTGGAATTGAACCCAGGTCGGCCACATGCAGGGCAAACACCCTATTCACTATACTATCTCTCCAGCCGCCCCAAAAGATAAGTTTTGAAAGACTTGAGGTAAAAGAGAAGAATACATGTTAAAGAGCAAGCCATTTTTAGTGTTTGGGGGCCACATTCAGTGGTACTTGGGGTACTTACCCCTGGCTGTTTGCTCAGGGATCACTCCTGGCATGGCTTGGGGGAATCCATATGTGGTGCTGGGGATCAAACTTGGGTCAGCTGTAAGCAAGGCAAGCACCTTACTCACTGTATTATGTCTCCAGCCACTGCAGTTTGATATTTTTTCTTTCCAGAAAATGAACGACAGAAATAGCTAGCTGCTTTGTGAAAACAGGGGTTAAGGAATGTACTTTGCAGATAGCCAACCCGCTTCGATCCCTGGTACTACACAGTCCCCCGAGAAGCCCGAGAGCCCCAAGCACAGAGCCAGGAGTCGCTCCCAGTATTGCTGCTGTGGCCTCGTGCCCCCTACCTCCAGTAAAAAAGGGGAAAAAATCATCCGAAGTTACCACCTTTTGAATATCAATTTGGGGGAGAGTTCTGACATTATTAAGTTATATACATGTTCAAATTCTTTAATAATTTAAGAACTATACCTGTCATCTTGTAACCTGTCCTTTTATTCCCATTTATTTTACAGCATTATCCATTACATTACAAACTTCATATTTTCAGTGCCAAATAGCCTATTAAAGATGTTTACAAGTGCTATAAAGTTAGCTCTAATTAGAAGGTAAGATTAGATATTTATATTGTAATTTAGGGCAACCCCCAGAAGCAAAGCAAAAACAAATAATATATAACCAAAAAGCCAAAAGTAGATAAGAGAGAATGCCCAGAGTCCTGGTGAGAGCGCGCAGCCCCTCAGAGCACAGACGCCGTGCTGCCGGTTGCAGGCAGCGAGGGGATGAGTGAGGATGCAGATGAGTCTTCGGACCGCAGGGAAGTAGCTGAGCACGAGCCCTTTCCGCCAGCAAAGACTCTGCCATAATATATATATTATGGCTAGAGAGAGATTACAGCAGGTCAGGCATATCCTGGGCACCACATGTGGGCACTCCCTACCCCCAGCCCCACCAGGAGTGATCCTGGAGCAGAGCCAGCAGGAAGTCCAGAGCACCACTGGGTGTGGCCCAAACGTGTAATTAAATAGGTGGAAATTTCTGGTGTTTACATGAAACATTCTTCTCCCTGGTTTAACAAGTTACTGTCCTTACTTTGTGATACCGTAATCTTTCATTCTAATGTTGTCTGCCCTTTGTGTGTACGTGCTTTTACTTTGCAGCCACACTAGGTGCTTAGGGGCTGCTCCTGGGTTTGTGGTTTTGGTTTGGGGCCGCACCCAGCAGTACCACTTGGGGCCAACTGCTGGCTCTGCCTTCAGGGATCACTCCTGGTAGGGGTTCAAAAATCATATGGGTGCTGGGGATCAAACCCCGGACCCCTGCATGCAGGCAAGCACTGTGCTATTGTTCCAGCCTTAGGCTACTCCCGGCCTGGTGCTCAGTAGACCATGTGGTGCTAGGGATGGGACTCAGACCTCTGACTGACCCTTTCTACTGTTACCCGGACCCTCTAGGTGCCTTTTAAAGTTTTGGGGAATTAAGAAATGTTTGAATTTGGGGCCAGAATCAAAGCACAGCAGGTAGGGTGCTTGCCTTGCATGCTGCCAACCCAGGTTTGATCCCCGGCATCCCATATGCTCCCCCAAGGGGCTTGAGTGATCCCTGATCACCACCTGGTGTGGCCCAAACACAAAATAAGTTTAAATTTGGCTTTTTTACTTCTTTTTCTGCTTTTTAAAGCATCAGTCTTTCAACCTTTTTTCTGGACCTTGATTACAATATTAAGGAAATGAAAAGTATGAATAGTCTGAGATGCGTGAGCAGGCCGCAACCATACAGGCAGGCCATCTTGGTCATATGTCTCCAATCTGCTGTTTTAGCTTGTGTTTATAATACTCGACTCCTTGTCTTTCAAGGCATTTAAACTTGTAAACATTGTTGTTTTTTTTTTAAGGTATTTGTTACCCCGTTTTGTGTCAGCTTCACAGCCAGAACTTGTTCAAGAAATCAGATCAAACTTCAAGTCCGCTGAGGTATGTTAATGCTCAAGATTCCTTAGCTTAGCAAGTTTACCTAGAAGTCTATTTATTTATTTTCCTTTTTGGGTCACACCCAGCGATGCACAGGGGTTACTTACTCAGGAATTACTTCTGGAGGTGCTCAGGGGGCCATATGGGATGCTACGAATCGAACCCGGGTCAGCCGTGTACAAAGCAAACAGCCCTACTTGCTGTGCTATTGCTCGAGCCCCGTTTTATGTTTTAAAAATCACAGCTGTAGTGGCTAGAGAGATGGTACAGCGCGTACAGTGCTTGCCATGCACGTGGTCGACCCAGGTTTGATCCCCGGCATCTCACCGTGGTCCCTCCAGCACCTCAAGGAGTGATCCCTGAGCATCATGGAGTATAGCTCCAAAATAAAAATATGAAACAACTTTTCAGCAATTCTGATTGTTGGGGGGTGGGGGGAGGGGAATTCTAAACAATAATGGTGCATCTTTTGTCGAAATAGACCCCAGAACATTAAACCATCAGGCCCTTCCCCCTGGGCCCAGTATTGCTAGGAGTAGCCCTTGACACCGAGTATCTTGGAGGATGGCCCCCTATTTAAAAAATTTAGATAAACACCTTAGTGCAGTAGTAAAATAACAACCTTGTGTGATGCCTGATCAGCGTGATTAGACCTGCTTATGACTTATGTTCCCCCACTTCACTCTGCTCTGCAGGAACTGGCTGATAACGATATTAAGAGCTCTACATGGCAAAATAGTGACACTATGGAAGGTGAGCCAACACCTTCTTCACAAGTGTGCCTTGAAGTTCAGGAACAAAGTGCAAAATCCCCAGGAGAGTCACCCGTGCCTCAGTTATGTGCCAGTAGTACAGATGAGTGCCTTGAAGGGGAAAACAGAACAGGACCAGTAAGCAGTCATGAGGCAGAGTTGTGTGCCCTGAACCATGAGGGAATGGAAGTCACAGCTCCTTACTGTAGAGAAAGTGCAGCCACACCTTGTGGCCAAAAGGAGAGTGGGTGTGCTATGACAGACATGTCAGGGATCACTGACTCAGCTGAGACAGACAGCGAAGAGTCCTGCCTGTTGATCGGTAGAGATACTTCCAAAAGAAGAAACCAGGATTCTTCACTTGAAATGGTCAAGGATCCATGTTTTTCGGTAAAAAGAAGAAAAATACTCGCAGACCCAAAGGAAACAGATACCAACTTTACCCAAAAACTGATGGATTTGGAACATTTGTTTTTTGAGAGACATAAACAAGAAGAGCAGGACAGGTTATTTGCATTACAGCTCCAAAAAGAGGTGGACAAAGAACAAATGAAGCCAAACCGGCAAAAAGGATCCCCAGATGAGTATCAGTTACGTGCTTTGTCGTCACCACCGGAAGACCTAAATGGACAGAGGAAAACGTCCAGAAACAGGAATTTCAAAAAACAAGTTGATAAAGAGCATTCAGAACCTCAGAGAGGCTCTAAAAATGAAAATGGGCGTCCTTTAAAGAAACATTCAGTTAAAGGAAGGAAGACGTCAAATTCTACTGGAGATAATTGTAATCTTGTGAAAAGTGCTCATTCCCTAGAGCTTAGTAAGTCACAGCAAAGTATTTTTCAGATGTTTAAGAGATATACAAATTAATGGAGCGGTGTAAGTGTTTTATACTCTAGGTAAAGTTGGGCTGGGAAACCCATTTCTGTCATAGAATCTCTGAATGTTTTGTTTACAGTCACTGTCTTTCATTCAAAGATTGTGTGGTTACACAGGAGGAATACACAAGTATGTTTTTGCCAAACTCAACTGGTCAGCAAGAACCCCAGTTCTTTCCAGTGTTAATAACTCTAAGGTACTAAGTTTGACAATCCTTCTGTCATCGAAATGGCTTGGCTGCCCCCAAGGAATCTCCCAAGCACCATTCTCTCTCCAGACATCATAGATTAGGGCCTTTACTCATCTTTTTTCCTAACTCATAGTCAAAGCAATAGCATATGACACCAAGTAATAAAAGGCTTAAAAGCTAAGTTTCTTGCTGTTTACCCATATACATGCAGACTCTATTACTGCATTTTTAAGAACATTTAAAATGCTTTATGAGCAATGTCACTGGGAAAAAAAACCTATAAATTAGAAAGTAGTGGGCAGAGGCTAGATTCAATGAGAAAGGATTTCAGAGTTGGGATGATGCCACGCGGGGTAGATTTGGAAGCACTGGAAATGATAACGGGAATGGTTTTAGGGGTAAGAGGAACAGCAAGTAGAACTTGACTAGATATTCTCCCTCATCTTTTGCTCAAGGACACTAATAATTATTTGGGGTTTGTGGTTTTCACACCATAGTATCTGGTGTCAAATTAAAATAGTATCTGGTGTCCTGGAGTTTGAGGCTTAATACAGGGATTGAGCAGTTTGCCTTGCGCATGACCGGCCTGGATTTGAACCCTGGTATTACATATGGTCCTCCTGAGCACCGCCAGGAGTGATCCCTGACCTCAGAACCAGGAATAACCCTGAGCATCACCAGGTATGGTCCCATAAAACAAATCTTCTAAGTTACCTGATACTTTTGATAATTAACATTTCTGTTATTTCAGGGACTGACTACAGGAGACTAAAAAGTGCCAGAGCATTCTATGTTGTAGAGCCTAAAACATGAGTTTATTTTTTTTATTGTTTGTATTGATGCTGACATACTTCTGTTTATGACAGAAAGTGTATTTGGATTTTGTTCTGAAAGTTAAAACCAGAAGGTAGTGATTTCATTTTATGAAACTCAACTATTTTCTGTTTGATATAGTTTAGTTTACAATAGTTTTGATTTCTTTTTTGTTAATGTCTAGTATGTATTTCTTAATGCAAGAAAAAATAACAATAAAGTGGCCAGAAACCCATTCAAGATAAAAGTTGTCAGATTTTTTTTGTATGTCATCCCCCCCCCCATTCTAAAATTCTGTTTATTTTGCATACTACTGATGAGTCGAATTCTTATTTGGAGGGTCCACACCCAGTGATGCTCAGGGATACTCCTGGCGGTTCTTGGGGGACCACAGGGGATGCCACAGATTGAACCTGTGGCGCGTGCAAGGCAAGGAATCTACGGGTTTTGCTACTGAACCTTGGTCAACTACATGTAATACATGACCCACTGTACTATCTTTCTGGTCCTAATATAAGAATTCTAATGTCCATTTAAAATTTAGTTCTCCCTTTCTCAAACCAAAAAAGAAAACTTGACTAAGATATCTTCACATCAAAGTACTGTAGCACTGTCCTGTTGTTCATCGATTTGCTTGAGTGGGCATCAGTAACACCTCACAACAAATTATGAGACTTGTTGTTACTGTTTTTGGCATATCAGATATGTCACAGGTAGCTTGCCAGGCTTTGCTGTGCAGGTGAGATACTCTCGGAAGCTTGCCGGGCTCTCTGAGAGGGGCAAAGGAATCAAACCTGGGTAAGCTGCGTGCAAGGCAAACGCCCTAGCCACTGTGCTATTGCTCCAGCCCCTACAATAACAAAACAAAAATAATTAATAGGAAATAGGGCAAAAGATCTAAACAGAAACTTAGAGATGGCAAATAAGCATATGAAATGATGTTCGGCATGATTTATCACTGAGTAACTGCAATTCAAACAATGCCGACAGAATAAAACACACCTAGTAGAATGACTAAAATCCAAAACACTGAAAATAGCAAATGCTAGAACTGTAGAGCAACAGAAATTCTCACATTGTACTGGCATGAATGCAAAAATGATACAGCCACTTTCTTACAAACTTAAAAGTAGTCTGGTTGTACAATCTAGCAATTTTTCCCCCCCGAATAGAGGATATATACTTAATTGGTGCTGAAAAAATGCCTTGAACCATCAGTTTCCTAAATGCAATTTTGTTCTTAGGGTAAGTATCATTGGAACACCTAAAGTTAGAAGTTATTTAGTTGGGGCCAGAGAGTCAGTATAATGGGCAGGGATTTGCCTTGCATGTGGTCAACCTGAGTTCAATCCTAGCACCACACATAGTCCCCAGAGCCTGCCAAGCATGATCCCTGAATGCAGATCAAAGTTATGTGGTAAATCTTCCTGGAATAGTTCATTCCCCCAAGAAGTGGGACAACAGTGTGGTATATTTAGGATTTAAATATTTAACCACTTAACTTACCTATGAAGATGTCTTCCTTAACTAAGGTTGGTTAGTTTTCTAATAAATTTTTAATTTCTGTATTAGCTTTTTGCTTTTCTTTCTTTTTTGGGTCACAGCTGGCGATGCTCAGGGGTTACCCCTGGCTCATGCACTCAGGAATTTAAGTCCTATCAAGGAGGTGGAGTGATAACACAGTAGGGCATTTGCCTTGCAAGCAGCTGACCCGGGTTCAATTCCCAGCATCCCAAATGGTCCCCCAAGCACTGCCAGGAATAATTCCTAAGTGCATGAGCCAGGAGTAACCCCTGTGCAATGCCGGGTATCAACCAAAAAGCAAAAAAAAAAAAAAAAGACTATCCAGAGCATATTTTCAGTATCCTCCAAAAAAGGGAAAAAACATCAAATTTCTCATACATGAGGATTCCTGGGGTTGTAGAGATAGTACAGGTTGTAGGTTTGCCTGCACAGAGCTGACCCAAGTTCAATGCTGGGTATCATATGGTCTCCTGATCCCTCCAGGAGTAATTCCTGAGTGCAGAGCGGGGAGTTATAACTGAGCACGGCCTGTTGTGACCCTTAAACAAAAACAAAAATCCCAAAACAACATAAAGATTCCTCTAATTTGGTGGGAGGTATATGAAAGTAATTTATTTTGGAGTATTATTAACATAAACCTTAAAACAACTGTTACACTTACAATGCAGTGTTATACCATTTTGCAATAAATTAAAGAACTTAAAAAATTCTGGTTAACACAACGACTACGGAGGTTTGACTCGCAGCAGGTTGGTTTCCCTGAGTAGGCCAGGAGTGTGCCCTGAGCTCAGCAGGGTGGGGAAGACTTCAGAAACAGGAAGGGAAGTAAAGAATAAAGATTTTCCTATGACCCTGTGATTCCATTACTTGGTATCAACCCCCAAAACACCAATCATTAATTCAAAAAGACATACATACTGTTGGTAATTGAAGTACTCTGTTTTTGAGGGGTAGGAATCCCCAGCGATGCTCAGGGGTTACTCCTGGCAGTGCTTGGGGGACCAGATGGGATGCTGGGGATTAAACCTGTGTTGGCCATGTGTAAGGCAAACCTGCTGTACTATATATAGCTCTAGTCCCCATAACTTCAGTCCCCAATAAAATACTCTTATTGGTTCATGGAAAGGAAGAAAAAGCAAATGAGGCAAATGTGGGGCTGGAGCAACAGCGGGTAGGGCGTTTGCCTTGCACGTGGTTGACCAGGGTTGATTCCCAGCATCCCATATGGTCCAAGCACTGCCAGGAGTAATTCCTGAGTGTAGAGCCAAGAGTACCCCTGTGCATCGCCAAGTGTGACCCAAAAAGCCAAAAAAAAAAAAAAAAAAAAAGAGGTAAATGTTCATATGAGGCCAAAGTGAATAGAGTATCCAGGAACTGGGAGCAGGAGAGAATACAGCAGAAAAGGCACCCACATTCGATCCCCAGCACTCCATGAACCTCACAAGGAGTGATACTTCAGCACAGAGCCTGAAGGAATAAGGAATAAGCTCTAACAACAGCCAAGTATGGCCCCAAAATAAAACAAAATACCCAGGATTTCTCTGTGCTATTCTTAACAGTTTCAGCTGTTAACTGTGCAAAAAGTACTAACTCTTGGGCTGAAAACAGCTCAGTATCAAGGAGGACTTTTTAGGACATTTTTTCTCTACTTGCAGCCCCGTTCATTTGAGAAATTTCTACATTACCTTGAATATAAAAAATAAGCAAATTTACTGATATCAATTACAGAAATTTACTTTAAAATATTTTTAAAAGTGATGTAACCTTACACGGGTCCCCAGTTTATTTATTTTTTTATTTTATTTTATTTTATTTTTTTGCTTTTTGGGTCACACCTGGCAATGCTCAGGGGTTACTCCTGGCTCATGCACTCAGGAATTACTCCTGGGGGTGCTCGGGGGACCATATGGGATGCTGGGAATCGAACCTGGATCGGCCATGTTGGCTGCATGCAAACGCCCTACCCGCTGTACTATCGCTCCAGCCCCACAGACCCCAGTTTAAGAAGCTAAGGGATAAGGCTCTTGCATACAGCAGACTCAGGCTCAATCTCTGGTACTGCGTCTGTCCCTCAAAGCTCCCAAGAGTTATCTCAGCGCAAAGTCAGGAGGAAAACTGAGTGAGCAGAGCTGAGTGTGGCCCCAAATCGCAACACCCCCAGTTAAGAATCTAGAATGGAATCAACATAAAATTAAGAATAAAAATAAGAAAACATAAAATTAAGAAAACTCATCACTTTGAACTAACCTAGAGGTATATACCAGAAAACAAATGGGTTTTAAGTTTAATGTTATTAAATATCTGAGTTGGGCTGGAACGACAGTGGGTAGGGTGCTTGCCTTGTACATGGCCGACCTGGGTTCGATTCTTCACCCCTCTCGGAGAGCAAGCTACCAAGAGTACTTCGCCTGCAAGGCAAAGCCTGGCAAGCTACCCGTGATGAATCCGATATGCCAAACACAATAACAAGTCTCACAATGGAGATGTTATTGGGCCTGCTTGAGCAAATCGATGAACAACGGGAGGACAGTGCGACAGACTGTGAAATATCTGAGTTACACACATAACTCTCCTGTACCCTGATGATTTCTGCATATAAAACAGCAGCTTCAACTATAGACAGATCTGGCTACAAACTGACTTAGAAATTACTCAAATTTACAAGAAGACTTAGATTATAAATCAGCTTCTTGCAAATTTAATACCAGCATTACCCAATCATAACTTTGCCACCTCAACAAGATATTTGGGAATCAAAGGCTTAGGAACTGTACTCTGAAATGACGCATTTATCAAGGTGGTCTAGCTAGGTAAGCAAATGACTTTTCCTTAACTGCATTCCTTTATGTGTTCATCATCTTCTTTCAGCTAACAGGTTTGTTCTTCATGAAAATATGACATCAAAAACAAGAGTGGAAAATATCATTCACTGGAAAAACCCTATGACAAATACTACACATAAATTTACTTTAGAGAACTGCATAACACTTAGATATGATAGTGATGCAATAACTTCAAGGACAGTCAAGGACATAAAAAGGAGAAATGTGTTTTAACACAGATCTGGCAGAAGGATACAGCACTTGGATAACATGCATATTCTGATCACCCCAAGAACTAAAAAAGTACATCTGACAGGGACAATTACATAAAACAATGTAACCTCAATAAAAATAAAAATTCAAATATTTATTTAAATATTTAAATATCTTGATACAGGTGACGTGGAGGCCATAAATGAAGTATGCAGACAGAAAAAGAGCTACCAGAGAGAGTTTAGGCCTTGGAGAGTGCAATCTTCTTAAAAAAGGAAAATATTCTATTCAGAACTTGCTCAATTTAGTGGTAGACATAGAATTTATTAAATGGTTCTTCATTCTGACATACTTAGGAACTAAGATCTTGCTTACAGAAATAGTACCTTAATCCTCCATTCTTAGGACACCAAAAATCCAGCACCCTCTCAAAGATGGAACGCATTTCTTATTCAAATCCCAATTTATTGTCTAATAAAGCAAAGATAATTTTTACTCCTTCACCAAGTATAAATTAGATTCCAATAAGCTTTTTGTGATATGTTCAGAGTAACGAAAACTTGTTCAAGTTATCCTCGAAAGTTTCCAAGACAATTTTATGACAAAAGCAACTAACATCCTAATCTGCTGGGCAGGCAAAACTAAAATACAAGCTGTTTAATCTTTTGTAATTATTCTAGGTTTTCTAGAAATCAACAAATATTTTAAATATATTTTCTTCTTCATGAAAAATCAGAACACCCCTAGTTCAAGGGAAATACATTTTCTTCTGGAAAAAAAACAATCAGAATGCCCCTAGTTCAATGGTTTTTGAAGATGTTAACATTACAAATAAAACATTAACTTTTTTGCTGAACATCCTATCCTAAGGACATAAAAATGATCTAAAAGGGCATCAAAGTACACAAGTTATATTAAAAATGATTCTTCATATGCTCTTTTACAAAAGCAACTGATATTTAAAAAAAAAAAAAAACAAAGCTTGTTTTATGTTTGAAAATTTAGGTGACCTCTAAAAGCATCCCAGAGTATCTGGTGCTCAGGGGCTACTCCAGGCTCTGGATGCACAGGAGCAGCTCTTGGAGGTGCCATGACCATGCAGGTGTGTTCCTGCACACAAAGCGAGCACTCTGGTCCTTCCATCCATCTCCCAGGCCCAGACTTCTGAACTTCAAATCCAATGCTATAGTAAGTGAAATCCTAGTATCTCATAAAGAATAAAATGAGGGCAGGGGAGAGCTCTAAATGAATGTATTCTTTGCATGTGGGTTTGCTGCCTGGTACCAAATCGGTCCCAGTACTGCTAGAAACAACCCCTGCACAGACACCAAAAACATATTTATAACAAAAGCAGCAGCAGCGAATGGACACCACTCCATTGTTAAATGGCCAAAAATATCTGCAATAGTTACATTCTTCACAATCTTTTGTTACCTAAAACCTCAAAGGCATCAATCAACATTTTGCAGTGTTTTGAATGAATGCACCAGGTCATATTTGTTGAAAGTGAACTTTCTCCTTCATTATGAAGGCAGAGATGGAACTGACAGCACATGCAATTCTGTACACATCCTAACCTCACAGATGTGAAACCATGGGAATCTCACTGAGTCATCATTGATGCACCTTCTTCACCAGTAGCATCTTGGGAAATGTGAAGGTCTTCAAGCATCTCTGTCAGACTAATTCGAGGTGCTCCTTCATCATCAGTGTCACTCTCCACAGGAATGGTTGCATCTAGGAGGATTTCAAATAAATAGATAAGCAAATACTGACAACCCGTACTACTATATAATCTTATTTGCATCTGCAAATTACTCATATAAATGTATGATATGCAACATTTAACAAAGTAATATCTCTACATAAAAGATACTAACTTAATTTTTTTTTGCTTTTTGGGTCACACCTGGCGATGCACAGGGGTTACTCCTGGCTCTGCACTCAGGAGTTACTCCTGGTGGTACTCAGGGGACCATATGGGATGCTGGGAATCGAACCCGGGTTGGCCGCGTGCAAGGCAAACGCCCTATCTTCTGTGCTATCACTCCAGCCCCAAAAGATACTAACTTAAAGCACTGGCATACAACCAACCTCTGTAAATGTTGACATTTTTCCTAATTGCCTCATCTTCTTCAAGATCTTCAAGAAAATCTTGGTAGTGCCTATAAAAGATAAAAAAACATTTAAATATTTCATCTTCCTTGAATACTTTGGTGCAGCAGAGGTGAGCTAACTGTATACATCAAAATCATTAGAGCCAAAACTATTATGAACATGGGTCCCAAACTATATTAATGAACCTGAAGCTGGGGAGTGGGAGGAAACCTAGGAATCCTGGGGGAGGGACGCTGCACCGGTGCTGGGTTTGTAGCTGGAATACGGTATTTCTGAAACTATTATCAACAGCTCTGTAAATCATTGACTAAGTTAATACACACACGCACATATTAAAACAAGCTTTTTATAACAAAATTTCATCTTTATAAAGTATGAAGGTGCTGCTAACACCTGTTTCAAATAGAAAATCTTAAAATATGTGATAATCAAAAACGGTTACTAAATACTGACAGGACTTTTTCTCTTTTCCTTTTTGATAAGGAAACCTTTTTTACCATTGCTCCAGGTTTAGACTTATATCACTGACATGAAATCAAGGTTTCAACAGTCTCATAACTTCACATTTTAAACCATCCACTTTCCATATCTTCACTTCTCAACTAAGTTATTTAAAAACAATAGCATATTTGCTATCAACAAACTGTTCTGGTTTTTGTTTTGGCCACACCCAGCAGTGCTCAAGTTGATACTTGTGGCAGAGCTTGAAAGACCACATGAGTGCTGGATATTAAACCTGGGCCAACCACAAGCAAGGCAAGCATCCTGTGCATCGTACTGTATCTCTAGCCCCATGAACAAACTCTTTTTTGATCCTAAGCCATAAGTACTCGTTTAGTACCTGATATATTCTAAGAAATTGTTACTACTGATACTATCATTGATTTTTGTTTGTTTTTTGGCTTTGGGCATACCTGGCGGAGCTTAGGCATTACTCCTGTGGTGCTCAGTGGACTTATGGGATGCCAGGGATTGAACCCAGGTCGACAGCATGCAAGGCAAACGCCTTTCCTGCTGTACTACCACTCTGGTCTCAGTAATACTCTTTAACGTCATAACCCAGAAAAACACTAACCCATTAATGACATTATATGTTTATACTCATTTAATCAATATTATGAATATAAAAGAAAAAGATCAATTCTGTGATTTTCCATATAATATGAAAATCACAAACATTTCACCTAATGATTTCCCTGAGACTACATGAAAAGTTTGATAGAAAAAAGCGAGACCTTTCATCATCTGTATCCATGTTTTCTCTATCTCTTTCAAGTTCTTTAAGTTTCCAATTTCTACGACGTTGTCGTTTGGTGCGGTCATAGCTCTTTTTGATTAATACCTAAAAATAAGATAAATATGCAAAGTCAAAAAAAAGGGGAAGTAAGGAATAGAATTCAAAAATTGAATCCTATTAAGAGAAGGAAGGAAGTGGGTCCAGAGTGACCAGACAGCGGGTAGGGCATTTGCCTTGCACGTGGTCAACCTGGGTTCCATCCCCTGTATTCCATACGGTCCCCTGAGCACCGCTAAGAATAATTTCTGAGTGCAGAGCCAGGAATAACCCTTGAGCATCACCAGATGTGGCCCAAACACCAGCGTATGTGCGCGTGCACACACAAACACACAATGACGGAAGAAAAGAAAAAAGGAATGTTAGGTAAATGCCTGGAAGTCAACAAATAGGAAATGAGTAGAAATCAAGGAGCAATATCTAAAAACTTCTAACACTCTTCTCCTTCAGGAAGATACAACAGCTCAAAGAGCACAGTGTATACACTGCTATTTCCTAAATTTGTAATGAATAAAACCTTGAGAGGAGGAAGGAGAGATCTACTGCTATCGTTATTCTTTGCCCAAAGTTTAAGAAATGAAATTTATTTATAATATTAAGAAACAGAAAATAGGCTTTAGACAAATTTATCTTGGTTTAAAATTCTTACAAACTGATGTTACAATAACAATACCATGTACTTTCCCCCCGAGAATACCATATTTCTCCACATTGAAGTCTTCAGTTCAATTAGCATAAAAACTTTTAAAAAGCATCAAACAAAATGGTTATATCATACTTTCTTGAGAAAAAAAAATTGGTATAAAACCTGTAGTGAGGCTCATTCTGGACACTGGCCTGCATCTCGACCAGAGATGTGTACTTTAAGCTCTTTTCCTTGTGTGAAACCTATGTTTGCTTTTTTGTTTGTTTGGGGGCTATACCTGACAATGCTCAGGGGTTACTCTTGGCTCTGTACTCATGGATTACTCCTGGTGGTGCTTGGGGCCTGTATGGAATGCTGGGGATTGAGCCTGGCAAGTTGTGTGCAAGGCAAGCACGTTACCTGCTGTACTATCGCTCTGGCCACTATTCTTAGTTTTTTAAGTGCTATTCTTACTGAGGTGTCAGATTTGTACTATCAATATTAATACTTTAGGCATACAACGTACCACACCAAGAGTAAGCCAATATCTATCCAATACAGTCTAGATGTTCCTTCTCATTTATAATTTCAGTTTCGCTCTATAAAATGTCAAGCTTTTGACTGATAATGAAAATGTGATGACAATTAAAAAATGAATAAATTTTGAATTTTCCTCCAAAAATTTAAAATGACACCATTTGCACTGTATTTGAAATTTCAAAATAAAGTCCTAAATTTATTTGCTATCTAAAAAGTTGTAGCCAGTGTATTTTATCCACAGAGTTACATACTTCTTTTCAATACAGAAACAAAGGAAAAATTCTATAGCCTTACCACATCTGGGACTCTATCTGCATTCATTTTGTTGACATACTCATCATTTAAGTTAGAGTTGGCCAAATCAAACCTGAAATGAAAATAATTGAACAGTTAATTGAACAAATCAATATTTAGTAGCCTCTCCCACTTTGAAAGTTACACAATTTACTAGTTAATATGCTTCCACAGAATCTAGTACAGAATAATAATCCACTTCTGAGTTTCATATATTATCCATTACTGTCCTCTTTACCTCATACTTACTAGGGAAGCAAAACTAAGGCATAGTGATAACAAAATCTAGAGCATACATTAAAGGCTCCCAGCATGCAAGGCTGCCATATTTTAAAAGTGAAACATTTGGGCAGCACCATATGCATCTTAAAAATTGCCCACTACCCATCACCAAAAAACTGCAAGTATGACCTAACAACACAACTTCCTGATTCAATTACAAAGTCTTAGAATAAATAACTCTTGTATGGGCTTCTAATCTATAACTCAACTTAGTTATCATAATAAATTGAGTAACTAGGTTACTAAGACATAAAATTTGTTAGGGGATAAAATAATTTTAGCATTTTAAGTAGACTTGCTAACTACCAAATAAAATTTGCAGTTTAAAATACGACAAATGGGGCGCAAGATACAGTAGTGACAGTGCTTGCATTGCATGTGGCTGATCAGGGTTTGACCCCCAGCAGATCAAACACAGCCCCTTGAGCCTCACCAGACTGACCCCTAAGCATAGGAATGAGCCCTAAGCACCGCCAAGCGTGGCCCCCAAACCAAAACAAAAATAAAATACTAGAAATTAATACAAACCCTAAAACCAGGTCACCAGGATTTAGTAGATGTCCCAAATGAGTGCGACAAAAATATTGTTTATCTGTATCCATCTCTGAAGTTTTTTGTACCCAGACTTCCCCGAGGGTATGCTTAAACAACAAAAAAGAGGCAATTTTCAATCATCTAAACACAACTCACTAAACAACTCTTAGAAAAGTCAATACAATATTTACTTTGGTTTTCAAATTTTCAATGTGAAGATAGAAAACGCTTTCTTTTAGATCTCCGAAATGTCAAAATTAATAATTTCTGAATCATAAGCGTATTAAAAAAATCACTAGAATAAAATTAAATTTCTTTAAAAACACAATCTAAAGATTTATAAAATACATCACTTAAAATGCATGGAATTTTCAAAAGAAATTTTTGAAAAAAACAAAACAAAAAACCAAGAAACAAAAAACAAAACACAACAACAAAAGCCCTAATATAAGCTCAGCAAAAACAAAGCCAGATAGGGATACCTGAAAAATCTTCAATCCAGACCCTATCGTAAGGAACCCTTGTTTTACAAATCAGGTTCAAAAGCACAGGGTTCAGACTACTATCAATCTAGAAAGCACACTGCTACCAGAGACCTCAACTCTTTATAAATTTTTTGATAACTATTATTTTCAATACCGCCTTTCTCCCCACCTTTTTATTGGAAGCACTTGATCACTTGACTGCCTGTTAATCGGCAATTTGCTCGAGCGGGCGCCAGTAACATCTCCCTTTGTCCCTGTTGTGTGCTAGTGTTAGTGTAGCCCAATGGCGCCTGTTCATTCTAGGAACATGAAGAGCCTCAAACTGATCATTCATGGTCTTGATGAAAAACTGACCATCTGGTAGGTGGGCGGCCACGCGGTCTTTTGACATCCTGTGGAATCCAATCAGTAATGGCTCTAGTCCAGCGGTCGTCTTTAAATCTCATTACATGACCAGCCCATCTGATTTTCGACACCTTGGCAAGTGAGACAGCGTCCCTGATTCTTTTTTTTTTTTTTTTTGCGTCCCTGATTCTTGATCTTCGATGGAGGTGGAAACTCCGGATTCTTTCCCTCATTTGAGTGAAACATGATATTTCAAGCATAGCTCTTTCGATTCCTCTTTGGGAGACCCGAATAGCATTCTCATCCTGTTTTGCGTAGGGCCCAGGTCTCCGAGGCATATGTTAATGCAGGAAGAACAGTGGAATCAGAGATGTGCCCGGAGCCAGAGTTTCTTCGTCCTCTTAGCTATTTCTTCGACTCTCTTGAAGGCGTTCCAAGCCGCTCTTTTCCTCCTGCGCAGCTTGGGTGTCAGGTCGTTTGTCATGTTGACTTCTCAACCTAGGTACACATAACCGTTGCATTCGGAGATGGTCGTTCCATTGAGAGCGAATGGAGTGTCAGGAACGATGCTGTTTCTCATAAACATTGTCTTCGTAAGATTCAGCTGTAGTCTGGCCTTTCCACACTCACGGTCAAAGTCGGCCAGCATTTGTGCCGCTTGGCTAATGTTTGGTGTTATTAAAACAATGTCATCAGCAAAGCGGAGGTGGTATAGCTGCCGACCATCTATCTTTACTCCCATTCCTTCCCATTCCAGTCGTTGCATGATGTTCTTGAGGGTGGCACTGAAGAGTTTTGGTGAAATGCTATCACCCTGCCGAATCCCTCTCTTGACATCAATGATTACTTCTTTGTAGAATGGTGAGATCCTGGTAGTGAATCCGTAATACAGCTCATGGAGGATCCTGATGTATTGAGTTTGAATGCCCTGATTGGCTGGGGCTTCAATGACCACTTCCGTCTCAACAGAATCAAAGGCCTTCTTTAAATCAATGAACGTTAGATAGAGCGGCATCCTGAACTCCCGAGAAACCTCGATGAGCTTGGTTATTGTGTGGATATGGTCGATGGTGCTGAATCCTTTGCGGAACCCGGCTTGCTTGCATGGTTGTCCTTCATCTAGTGTTCTGCTAATCCTATTCAGGATGACTCGAGTGAACAACTTGTAGATGACAGACAATAGGCAGATCGGGCAATAGTTGCCAATGTCATGGATGTCTCCTTTCTTGTACAGTGGTACAGTCCTGCTGGTTTTCCATTGGGACAGAACCTTGCATTCAGACAGGTAGTGTGTGAAGAGCCGAGCCAGCATATTGATGAGCACAGACGGCAGGTTCTTCAGGTGTTTGGGTCTGACCTTGTCTGGGCCGGGTGCTGTTCATTTCTTTACTGACGAAATGGCGTGTCAGATTTTGGAAGGGAGAACGTTGGGAACGACATATCCATCCTGTGGAATTTGGTATGTCGGCAGGTGGACATGGCTATTGAAGAGATTTGAGTAGAAGTCATGGATAATCTTCTCCATTGCCGTTCTGGAAGATGTGATAGATCCATCAGGACGTTGGAGGGCAGTCATCTTGGTCTTATAGTTGGCAAAGGACAGGCGGGCGTTACAAATACTTTTCCTGGCTTCTGCTGCATTTACCAGCACTTCTGCTCTTCTCCTTGAGGTCTTCCTTGATCGCATCTCTGCACTGCTTTGCGAGCTCAGACGTTGGCTTGCGGTTGCCTGAGGCATGCGACAAACCACGTTGGCAAATAAGCTCAAGAGTTTTTGAAGACAGGCGTTTTTTTTTTGTGGTTATCTCTCTCTTGGCGTTCCTCAATCATGGAGGTGCTGAACCAGTCGATCGTATTCCTTGTCAATGTTGTCAATAATGGAATCTTCCCATGTTGCCGCAATAGTGCCAAAGAGCTCCCAGTTGGTGGTCGTTCTGGGAGTTCTCTTCTTAAACTTTGCAGCCCTTTCTCCCTGCTCTGTGAAGTAGAGTTTTGCACGAAGGAGACGGTGGTCCGATCCCGTTTGGAATTTTGGGACAACAGCGACATCAGTCAGGCAAAACCATCAATTAAATATGATGTGGTCTATTTCGTTGTGGAATCGTCCACTGGGAGACTCCCAGATCCAACATTTAGATTTGGCCTTCTGGAATCTTGAGTTACCACGGATGGTCTTGGATGACATGATGAACTCAGACAGTCTCTCACCCTGTTCGTTCCATTCTAGGCCATGGGTCCCGATGTGAAGTTCTTCGGCTGATCTTCTCAGTCCTATCTTGGCATTAAAATCACCCACAATGATCTTGTAGAAGGTGTGGTCTTCTTTATTCTCCAGCTCCATGTAGAACTTCTCAATTTCTCCTTCATCGTAATTGGATGTTGGTGCGTAGACAACGAAGATAGAAACTGCTGGCAGTGAGCCACATCTATTCAAATGTAAACGTCCAATTCAGGTTGTTAGGCATTTTAATGAATCAATGCTCATGGCCAAGTTTGTGTTGACAAGGACACCGACACCTATGACACCTCTTTTATCGCATGTTCTGAGGAACAATTCTTCTCCAGTGTCAAAAACGGTATGATGAGATTGGTGCCTTCTTGTCTCGGTCAGACCAATGATGTTGTACTTGATCTTTCGTGCTTGTACCATCAGGTCCTCGATGGATGCATCTGATGCTAGCATACGTGCACTGAAAGTACAGACGATCATTTTTGTCTTCCTTCGTTGTGGCAGCCTAGTTCGGCCTTGAGATTTTATCGGCCTCTCCTTTCTCATCCTTCTCAATGCTGCCATATTGTGACATCTTCAGGGTCAGGGGAATGAGACCCATTGTAGTTACTCGTTTTGGCATATCGAATACACAACGGATAGCTTGCGAGGCTCTGCTATGCGGGCGGAATACTCTCAGTAGCTTGCCAGGCTCTCCGAGAGAGATAGAGGCTTTTGGGGCGACCTCTAATCGCCCTTGTAGGTGTTACCATGGTTCAAACCGTATTTGAACCCTATCAAATATGGTATGGCAATTCTGGAAGATGGGTATTTAGTGTCTTATAATGTGTCCGGAAAGCGTTCTGGAGCGTGGCGGTGGCTGGGCAGTGGAGATAGTGGAGGTTACTGGAAGCAATATCCCAAATTTGAAGCTTTTCTTTTCTGGGGGGGATGGGGAGTCCCAATTATGATAAAAGGATTCCAAGGCCAATCCTGATAATACTTGGGCCAACCAGGCCTTTTGCCCCTGCTGCCCATGTCCTGTGATGTTGAGAACCACCAAGGCCACCTCAACAACTCTTGCGGGCAACCAGGGGCACACTAGAGGTGCCCAAGGATTTCTGGGACTATGCCCACTGATACTTGGGATCACAGAGAACCAGATATATAATATATGGATCTTGGTGGCTATGCGCAGTGATGTTTGGGCTCACCGAGTGCCAGATATACAGTATATGCATCCCCAACCCCTGTATTATCTCCCGATTCTCAGAAAATTTAGAACCAGAAACCCATTGAAAGTTTTCTTTCCAACCTGCTTTTGTAAGCGATTACAACATTTCAAACTCAGAGGCTGTATTAGACAGCTTTTACTAATCTAAACAGAACCAAGGACATCAAGAGCAAAATTTTAATGATTATAGGTGTAATTAAGGAATTTTAGAGATGAACAGATGATACAAATATACAGGGAGAGAATGAAGTAAAAGAAAGGCTTCAGATTTAGGAGAAAACTGTGAAAAACCAATTACCAAGGAAAGACTAAACTATATAATAAGATTCAATTCTTTCTAGCAATCAGACTAATAATCACATTCTATACATATATATGTATATATTCTTAACTGTTTCGGGTCAGTATATATTTAAAGCCCATAAAAATATATCTGGGTTTACAGATATCTGAGGGGCGATGGTATTTCTCTATGCATTATAAATATTAACCATTATTAAATTCATTTTAAATTAAAATGTAGAAATCAATGTCTCCTTTCCAACTGATTTCTCCAAATTAATCGTACACTATTTTTGTCTTAAGATATCACCCTAAAGATCACCTTAAGATAACCTCAAAGATTACCTTAAGATATCAACTTCAGATAATCACCTCAAAGGAAATGAGCATTCTTAGTATCTAGATTAGGGATCTTGAAATACTGAATTTAAGCAAGCCTTCTAGCATAAAGGAAATACAAGAGATTAAGAACTAAGTTAAATGGCATCAAGGGTCAACAATAAAAACTGGATTGGGATACTGGTGACATAAAAAGAGGAGGACATGGCTATTATTAAATTTAAGGCACCACACACATTCAAAGCATGCTCTTCAAATGGATACTAATATTAACTTACATTAAAGGCATTTAGGATCAAATAAAGAATACTAAAACATAAACTACAATACCCTGAAGCCACACAAGGAAAAATAAAGATGCGTGCCAGGTGTGGTCCCAAAATAAAGACAAAACAAAATAAAACAAGCAAATAGCAAACAAATATAGACAGCATGTTTCTCCTAATGTGGTCTAAGATCTACTGGAACTAATTTTATTTATTTTTAAATTTTTGTTCTTTGGATCACACCTGGCAGTGCTTGGGGGATCATATGGAATGCCGGGGGTTTGAGGGGATCAAATCCGGATCAGCCGCGTGCAAGGCAAACACCCTCCCTGCTCCAGCCCCTGAAACTCATAATCACTAAAACATCTTTAAAAACAAACATACAAAAGAGGAAACAAAACAGCAAGTTATGAATCTTTTTTATAAAAAGGTGGGCAGTTCAGAACTTACCTTTTTTGATATCATTCCAGCACCTGCACTGCGCTTTAGATCTCGGACGATGCTGCATTCCATCACAATAAATTCCTCTAGTTGCTTGGGATGACATAAACTATTGAAAGGGTGATTCCAGAAAGTGTTCCCATCAATATCTGCAACTATGAATAAACACAAAATATTAAAGGAGGGAACTGAAATACTGAAAAGTCATCAAAATGTGTTAAGTCAAAAAAGATGCCTAGATGAACTTGGAAACACTATGTCAACAGAAACCACAGTGGCAAATCAACTTTCCCAGGTCATTCTATATTCCAGTAAATGAGCTGCAAACCACTTAAAGAACAGTCATAATTTTTTTTTTTTTTTTTTGCTTTTTGGGTCACAACCGGAGATGCTCAGGGGTTCCTCCTGGCTCTGCACTCAGGAATTACCCCTGGCGGTGCTCAAGGGACCATATGGGATACTGGGAATCGAACCCGGGCCGGCCGTGTGCAAGGCAAACGCCCTACCCACTGTGCTATCTCTCCAGCCCCTAGTCATAATAAATCTTAAGCAGTTACTATCACTATCAGAGCTCAGTCCTCCTGTGCATGATAAGTAGATCTGATCTGATGACTAACTACAGCTGTATATGTGCATTTTAAAAACATTTACCAATACTTCAGTGCTTAGTTTAAAGAAAACAAAGTTCTTACTGGCATTAAAAAATATGTCCATCCTGGGAACTGGAGCAATAGCACAGCGGGTAGGGCATTTGCCTTGCACACAGCCAACATGGCCGACCCAGGTTCGATTCCCAGCACCCCATATGGTCCCCTGAGCACCGCCAGGAGTAATTCCTGAGTGCATGAGCCAGGAGTAATCCCTGAGCATCGTTGGGTCCTTGAGTCCTACCAGGAGTGATTCTGAATACACAGATAGAAGTAATCTATGGGCATAGCCAGGTGTGACACAAAAAATACAAACCGAACAAACAAAAATCACCTCTAAATTAGTTCAAATTCTAATCATACTAAATGGCATACTGGATCCAAAAGTCAAATGTCCTAAACTTTAAAATTTGTGATTCACTGAAATTTGGTAAATAATTCACTATAAATATTAAATAAAATAAATAAATAAGTCAATAAAATTGGTTTTTAGGGTTTGTGTGTGTTTTTGGTTTTGGGCCACACTATCAAGTTATTCTTGGCTCTGCACTCAGGAATTACTCCTGGCAGGGTAGGGGGGACCATACCAGGTGTCAGAAATAGAACCTGCATTTGCCACATTCAAAAAAACACCCTACTTACTCTACTATCACTACAGCCCCCTTTAAGTTCACAGAATTGTTTCTTGAAGTAAAAAGTTACCAGGGTAACTTAACAAGCACTTTAAAAATCCAGTTTTGCAGGCCGGAGCGATAGCACAGCGGGTAGGGCGTTTGCCTTGCATGCAGCCAACCTGGGTTCGATCCCCGGCATCCCATATGGCCCCCCCAAGCACCGCCAGGAGTAATTCCTGAGTGCAGAGCCAGGAGTGACCCCTGAGCATTGCTGGGTGTGACCCAAAAAAAAGCAAAAAAAAAAAAAATCCAGTTTTGTAGGAATTAGATCATAATAATTTTAGCTAGTTTTTTAAACCAGTATAAACATGAACACATATGATTCCTGCTTACTAGGAAGAACTACCAAGGCCAAACAGTTCCTAAAACTTACCTTGTAGCGTATTCGGGTCTATGAGATGGATGGTGCTGGTCACTCGAATACACACACAGATCTGGTTCATATTTCCCAGGCTATGTGCCAATTTTGGAGACAGACAAACAACATTATCCTAGGCATAAAAAACAATGAGACTTAAACAAATCCTTATATAGGTCTACAATAAACACTCATCAATGCCAACCTGACTGAGACGGGTCTACCCACCTCAAAAAGCTCTTAATTATATGGAGGAACAAAGGGTGTAAGGAAAAGAACTAGATCATAAAAGAAACAAAAAATGTACATTTCGCGTCTTACAATGGAGTGTTAGAAGAGATAGGGACAGGACTAACGTCACCACCACTGAGTTGTCCCAGGTAAACCCAGTTTCCGGGCTGGGATCTGTGGCGCCTTCTTGGGATGGAGACAGGCTGGGTCGCTGCCCTGACAAAAGGCCCAGTGCCCAACCATACCAGATATCCTCTGGCACATAAATGACCCAGCTTCACAGCTCCACGACTAATCTAGAAGAGATGCCAAAATGCTGAACTGTTTTTGCCTGTGCAATCTCAGCCATTCATTTATTTCTTATCACGGATGTCTACTTTGAGCTACAACATAGTTGGATAGTTGCTAATGATACTACAAATCAAAACACTGAAAATATTTCCTAACTGGTTCCACAGAGAAGTCTGTAGACCTTTAATTGAAGCAGGCAGGCCTAATAGCGTCTTGCAGCACAGACCAGTGACAACAGCTTTAAAGCTCTGAAGCTTCGTAGTTACCTCACGCCCCTCAAGTCCTCTAACTTTTCCAAGCGTCCATTTCCTCAGCTTTAATGCCCTGTCATTATATGACTTGTAAGCTTATACCTTTATTTTGAATAACTACAACAAATTATAGCAATGATGTAAGAGAATGGTAGTCACTGTTAGAGTAACCCCTGAGTAGCACCGGGTGTGGGCCCAAAACCCCAAAATTCTAGTATTTATTTCCACAATATTGTTTAATTTCATCTTGCCAAAATCAAGTCAGCACACACTCCGCAAATGGTTCTCTGCTTATCTTAATGTCAATTCCTATATTCAAAATTTCTTAGAGCTTGTCATGTTTATCAGAAAAACAATTTTAAGGAACAGAAACAATGAAAAATTTCAACAAGGTCTTTTCAATGAATACCAAAAGGAAAAAGGTGACAAATTTTTGTTTTTGGGCCACACACTGGAGGTACTCAGGGATTACTCCTAGCTAAGCTCTGGAATCTTCTGGTGATGGTCAGAGGTCACCAGGTGGTGCCAGGGGTTGAATAGGAGTCTGCCACATACAACCTAAAACCCTGTACTATCTCCTAGGCTCCTCAATGTGTGCAAATTTATAATTTTAAGTATGATTACCTTTGTTGTGGGGTGTTCACACTGCCCAGTACTGTCTATATTGGACAGTACTCAGGGGCTACTCCCAGCTGGGGCTCAGGAACCACCCAATGCTAGAGACTGAACTTGGGCCTACAGCATACAAAGCAAAGCCTCCTGGGCAATCTCTCTGATCCAAACATGTTACTTTTTAACATTTTTCAAAAACATGACTGGATATCTAAAATCATTTAAGAGCAGTTTATCTAAATTTAGTTAATACTGGACGTGGACAAAGAATTATACAGAAAAACTGATCAGTAACTCCTCCTTTATAGACATGAATTAAGACATAAATGAACTGTACCTTGCATATTGGAACAATTTCCACAGAAAAGGTGCTTTTGTAATTGTATATGTTACTACGGATATCCTGAGAGATTAACCTCTGTGATGCTTTATATCTATTAAGAGAAATCAGTTAATAATAAAAAGGCAAAGGTAAATTAATAACAAAAAGACAAAGGTCCTTATCGGAACCCAATATGAATACAGTCTAACTATTTTCACCTTTTCTACTAAATATCTCCAATACATGCTTTTGACTCAGACCAATCTAGTCAATCTATACTATCCTTGAAGAGTCATAATAACTAGCACAGCAAGATTTTCTTTGTTCATACAGATCTCACTTTTATTCACACCTCTGAAATACTTCCTTCTTGGAGGGAAAGGATGGGAAGGGAAGTTGAGAGAGAATGTAAAAGACAAATTTTCATCAGGGCAAGAGATATAGTACAGCAGGTAGGGTGGTTTGCCTTGCACACAGCCAGCCCAGGTTTGATCCCTGACATTCCATATGGTCCCCCGAGCACCGCCAGGAGTAATTCCTGAGTGCAGAGCCAGGAGTAAGCCCTGAGCATGGCCGGGTATGTTCCACCCCTCCTTAAAAAACAAAGTAAGACAAAAATCTTATGAGTTTGGAGTACATCTTACGAAGCTTCTACAACTTTCTACCCCCATAGTTCTTTTGTCTTATTTAAATACATTAAATAATGGTTCAGTACTATAGTGCTTGTTTTGTTTCTGCACCACATCTAGTGGTGGTCAGGGTTTAGTCCTGGCTTTGCGCTCAGGGATCACTGCTAGTGGGCTCATGACCATATGGTGTGAAGTGGACAAACCAAGGTTGGCTGCATGCAGGGCAAGTGCCCTACCCACTGTGGTTTATCACTCATGCCCCACTACAGTGCATACTGGGGTAAGGTCCAGTGCAGAAGAGATACTTAAGTGACGCTTAGTATTTCTCTTCAAGTGGCTAGTCCATTAAAAACTGGGTAGTTGTGCCAGTATTCCTATTTTATGTTTTAACAACAATAACCATCACAACAAAGATGTTTCCTAACCCCGAAGAGGTGACCTGCATCCATTCCCAATTTCCTGAACTTAATCATTTAGTTTTAGAACATACCTGCAGGGAACTGAAGAGTGAAGAAATTCTACCATCTTCTGAGCATGTTGTTTTGAAGAGTAAAAGAAATCCAGACCATCTATAAATAAAGAAAAGAGTCACATGAAAATAATTCTGCAAAACATTTCCCTCTAACATATGTAAAATATTGTATTACACAAATATTTTATTATACTGTGGCCATGGGGACTTTGGATCATTTGTCTAGTATGAGGTACTCCTGGAAAAAAAAAAAAGGTAAATACTGTTTCAAAGTTTTTTTTTTTGTATTTGGAGAACACAGTCCTGCATTAGTGATCCTAGAGTTCCATATCCAGTTACCACAAAAGAGGCATTTGGACCGGAGAGACAGTACAGTGAGTAGAGTGCTGTCTTGTATGTGGCAGACCCAGATTTAATCCCCAGTACCCCATATGGTACCCTGAGCTCTGCCAGAAATGACCCCAGAGCGCAGAGCGAGGAGTGACTCCTGAGCACTTCTGTGAGCCCAAATCAAAGGAATACAAAGAAGAAATGTTTAGAGATATTATTTCAAACAACTCAAGTTAACCAGGAAACTCACTCAAAATAGAAAGACAAATAACACCTCCCCCCCAAAAAAAAATCACCAAATTTGGGGAACTATTAGTTTCCTACTGACAGTTCCAAATTTTAGTGTGGATCTAGAGCACAGACTTGAGAATACTTATAGTCAAACTCAGTAAAGATTATCTTTTCACCAGGACAACAGAATACACATATGACACAAGAACTTAAATCTCTGGGGCTAGAGACAGTATATTTGGGAGTCTTTGCCATGGATGTGAGCAGCCATGGTTCATTTCCCAGCATCCCACACGGTTCCCGAGCCCACCAGGAGTGAGCCTTGAGCACAGAGTGAGGAGTAAGTCCTGAGCACCACTAGGTATGACCCCAAAACCAAAAAACAAAAATAAAAATTTAGATATCACCATGTGCAAAGTTAACTTTAAAAAATTAAAACTAAGAACCATTGGGTCTGAGCAGCACATCCACACCAATGAGTGTTCCCACCAAGCACAACCATGAGGTCCACGCCAAAGGGCTCAGAATTGCCAGGAAGGCGCCTGGGTCCTCTTTTTTAATTTTTTTGTTTTGGGGGTCACATCCAGCAGTGCTTTGGGGATACTCCTGGCTTTGCATTCAGGAATTACTCCCAGACTTGCTCAGTGAACATTACGGGATGCTGGTAATTGAACCCGGGCTGGTCGTGTGCAAAGCAAGTGCCCTACCTGCTGCACTATCTCTCTCGGTCTTCTCGAAAGGGCCAAAAATAAAAGGGAAGCAACACATGAAGATAATGGAGAACTTTAAAAGTTTTATATACGCCTAATAAAAATCTAAACCATGCTGCCACTAAGAAAATAAAATGAACGCTCATTAAAAAAACTGACACTAGGGACCCGGAGATGATCAGGGTAATAGTACCTGACTCGCAAGCAAGAGACCGAGTTTAAACCCCAGTGCCTATATACAGTGGTTCCGCTACTTAGGGTCTCCAGCTCCACAAAAGTTTAAGACGCCTGGCATAACACAGCCAAGTATGGGCAAGCACTGCAACTAGCGAACCCCACTTTAAATAAAGTGCAAGCAACCACAATCAGGAGTCCTACTCCTAGTGACCATGTTTATGAGCCCACAGTAAGCAATACAAAGTGTGCTAAAGTACTGAAGCATATATCCCAATGAGCACTGCTGCCCAAAACTAAACATACGACCCGGGGTCACTGAAAACAGCAGCAACAGCAAAGAGAAGGGGAAAACTGCAAACACAACTTCCATATGATCCAGCCTTCTTACATCTAGGTACTTATGATCTCAAAGACAACTTAAACCCAAGAGATGTGATGTGAAATAAAGCAGTCACAGAAAGACAAATACTTCATAATTCCACATAAATGAAGAAAAGGGAAAAATGGGAATATTTCTAATCCATGAGCATGAAGTTTTTATTAAGCAGCATGAATTAAGTTCTGGAACTCTCTAGTACCAAACCATATTAAAAAATACCATACTTTTAATCTATTGAGATTAAATCTTAAATCAAGTTTTTAACACACACACACACGTATATATACACATACACACACACACACACATACATACATACAAACTTGCAGGAGGGGCCACACCTGGTGATACTCCGTTTACTCTTGCCTCTGCAATCAGGGATCACCCTAGCAATGCTTCGGGGGACTATATAAGATGGTGGGAATCAGACCCAAGTCAGCTATATGCCAGGCAAGTGCTGCACAGATAAAGAACTAAGACTATTTTCTTTCTAACAGAAAGTTCTTCTGGACAGTATTATTTGAGATATTATCAGCAAAGATAAAAAGACAATTTAGGTAGCTTAACAAAACACCACTTGAACTTCTTTTAAAGTTTAACTTACCATGAACCTCTTTGATACGAAGTGTATTCTGATGCATTCCATATTTCAAAATCAATTGTTCCAAATAGTAGAAAGTTTTTTTGTGCAGAGTCTAAACATAAAAGCATTACTGGATTAATGGTGACAATTTGAAAAGTCATCCATAACAGAGGTTTTTTTGTTTTGTTTTGTTTTATAAATGTATTTATTGAATCATCATGAGAGCAGTAACAAAGCTTTCAGGTTTAAGTCTCGGTTATACAATAATGAAACACCCATCCCTTCACCAGTGCACATTTTCCACCACCAAAAACCCCAGCATACACCCCCATCCCACATCCTCCCCCTACCTGTGGGGCAGATGATTTCCACATTACTCTCTCTCTACTTTGACTACATTCAGTATTTTGACACCAGACCAACCATTATTATTAGGTATTTTATCCCAACACTCAGATCTGCCAAAAAGGCAACATTAGACAATTTGTTTTCTATTGCTGATTATGAATAGCATATGATTTTTGCAATTCTGAAATCTAAATAATTAAATCTGGACGGATTCCTGCTAAAAGCCACTGAGATTTGTTTGAGTCTCTAAGGATCATGGCTTCAGCAGCTTATTGAGTAGCCAGAGGGCCCGTTTGTGGGCGGTGACTGGGAGTCTCACTGGGGCGGAGGAGGAAAGGGCTGGCTCTACCCCATCCCGTTAGGCCCTGCGTTTCTCATCACTGTGGGCCCCAACAGAGGTTTTTTTTTTTTCCGAGGTCACATGCTGTGCCAGACTCAGGCCTACACATTTTTAGGCAAGTGTTCTGATGCTCGAGTCTTTTCTCAGCTCAGCATGCTGATTTTTAAAACAAAAAGAACCTTCAGAGATAAAACGTGATAATGCTAATGTGTTGATGAACCCAAGCTATCCCTGGTACCTGAAAAACTTAGAAAGAGACATTCATCAGTGTTTTTCATCAACAAAGATGATATACAAAATGACATGCTATTTTTTTTCTCTACCTTTTGCCTGACTTGAATCACAGCCTTCCAAAAATCCTTAGCTTCTACTCTATGGCAATCTCCACACATCTGTGGCTGAACAATATAATCCACTACAAATACTTGCTGCAGGATAGCACCATTCATCACCTGAAAGAGAAAACAACCATACTCCTTCATTGTTCTTAAAAGATACTTTAACATTTAATTTAAAATCTTTTATTATAATGCTCTGAAAATACCAGTAATAAATCTTAAGATTTACAAGTTTAATCCAGAATTTATTTCATTAACATTTCAAATGTGTCATTAGAGTACTTATGAGACTATCAGAAGAATTTTCATATATACATATACATGGACAATGAGATAAGTGGGCAGATATCTGTTACATATAAAATTTACCCTCAAAAAAAAAAAAAAAAGAAAGCAAACATTTCTTAAATTTTGTTCCCCAAAGTAAAAAAGTCCTTAATTTAAGCTAGGGAAAAGGTTCAACTGCTGCAGGGTGCTTGCCTTGCATCCAGTCAACCCAGGTTTGATCTCTGGTACCCAATATAGTTCCCCCAGTACCAACTAGGAGAGCTTCTCTGAGTGAAAAGCTAGGAGTCAGCCCTGAGCATGCACAGGGTGTGGCTCATAAACAAAAGAAAACTAATTCTTTAATTTGTTCCCAAACGGGAGCCAAAAGAGGCGGAGAGGGTGGAGTGCATGCTCTGCCTGCGGGAGGCCCACTCTGACCCAGGGAGTCACACAGTCCCCCAAAGGCCAAGCTAGGAATTGCCCTGTGCACTGCCAGGTGTGTCACACACACAAATAACAATAGCAACAATAAAAGAACATGTGTGTATATATATTATGTGTAACAAAACCTTTTAAATAAGTAAATTATTCCCAAACACATCCAAACACAGAAACCACCGGAGAACTTCAAATAAACAGATAGTACGTTTCATATCTAGCTAAATACAGCTTGATTTGTTACTATGAATCATTATGATCAGCAAAGTTTGGGAATCAGCCATAACTCGTTTTGATTGAATCCTTTTCTCTATAAAGGCAACTTTGATGGTCATAGATACTACAGTGGTCAAGGCACTGGCCCTACACATGGCTGACCCTGGTTCAATCCCCCAGTACTGTTTATGATCCTCCAAGTACCACCAGGAGTAACCCTGAGCAGAGTCAGGACTGGCGCACCACTGAGTAGGGTCTCAAAGACTGGAGACCTAGTACAGGGCTTAAGGCACTTGCCCTGCATCTAGCAGACCCTGGCTCAAATACCTAGCACCATGTACGACCTCCTGGGTGCCACCAAGGTTATTCTTGAACATATAGCCAGGCAGGAATAGCTCCTGAGAACTGCTGGGTGTTGAGAAAAAAATAAAACCAAACCACCAAAATAAATACAACTGAGGAGGCTAGGAAGATAGCTAAACGGGCTAGAGTACCTGTTTTTTTTTATGCAGGAGCTCTGGGTTCAGTACCTGGCAACAAATGTTCAAGTACCAAGTTCAACTGGAAAAAAAAATTTTTTTTTAAAAAAAAAACCAGGCTGGGGAGGTAATGCAAGGGAAGAGAGTGCACATCTTGCATGCCCTAAATCCAGCCTCCAGCATAAATCCAACACCCAAGATCCTCTGTACTGCTGCCTAAGTACGCTAAGTACAGCCCTGCCACCATGTCCACCCCAGCTCTGGCAGGCGGCGCCAAGCACTGGCTGCCCCAGCAGGGCTGTAGCCTTTGAGGAGACTAAAAAGGAGAATCTTCATCCATCAATCATGTGTAAACCTGTTTCTGCTAACGACCTCATTATCTGTGAAGATGAGTAGATGACTTAAAAAAACAAAGATTACATGAAAGGGATCTGTTCCTTTTATCAAGCCATATCCCTTCCTCTTACCACTTACACTTTACCCATGCCGAGGAAACTACGGACAGCTTACCTCTTTCTGAATAGTCAGTTTAACTTTAAGTCTCTTCGAATGGGGTTCAGTCCAAACAAAGCCTGCATCTACAAGTCGAACCTTCAGACAAAATAAAAAAAAGTTAAGTTCTCATCTGAGGAGAAAAAAAAAAACTTTAGTATAAAGATTATATACAAGGTACAAAGGACGTTTCTTCCTCAGTCTCCATTAGTAAGGATCTGATGAGACCCCAAGGGCATTTTCTAATGCAGCCTTCAAATTCCATCTACACAATGGAGTGAGGTCCCGAGACACTCACTGCACCATTCCCCAGAAGAGCTTTACCACACTGCCAGTCCGCAGACAACCTACTAATAAGTTCATTACCTCCTTCAATAGTCCCAGAGACGTCTTCCCTATCCCACCCTCACAGGATTTCACAGATTTCCTTTTCAGTTTCATCTAACACTCCGTCCAAAAATCCTGAACTTTCACTGTACCTGCTGAAACCCAAACTTCACTAACAAAATCTCCTCAATCTCTTTATGGAACATTTCTCTTTCACTACAGATCTAGACTGTACCATTACATACCTCTCCTCTGCAGAAAAATAAGACTGATTTTTTTCTCCGTATCACTAGCCAGAGAGCTCTCCTCCTTGGCTTAATTACTAACTCTGACCCACTTTCCCTGCTTCCCTTCCTTAAAGAATTCCAGTTTCAAATCTGAAGTGCAGAAACATTGCCACACACCTGATAAGAGTCATACATTAATCCCAGAACCACCTGCTCTTGTTTCTCAAAGATTTTAGCTGACTGGATTCACTCTAATAGGAGCTGGCGAGCTTAAGACATGCAGATGACATGCAATACACTAGCTTCTACATTCTTTTGAGTTCCTTTGGCTCCAGGATTAATCCTGTCCTCTTCATTTTCTCAGCTACTCAATATCCTTATTACCAATATCTGCAACCCATCCAAAATCTCAATTCTAAGTATCCATCCCACTCCATATCTACCAGTTCACGCTCTTTAGTTCAAGGGCACCAGAATCTTTCAAACTAGTAATTTTCAGGGCAACCTACAATCTATTTATTTATTCATCCAGCCTTTTGTTTTGTTCTTTTTTTTTTCCTTTTTGAGTCACACCTGGCAATGCACAGAGGTTACTCCTGGCTCTGCACTCAGGAACTACCCCTGGCAGTGCTCAGGGGACCATATGGGATGCTGGGAATTGAACCTGGGTCAGCCGCGTGCAAGGCAAACACCCTACCCGCTGTGCTATTGCTCCAGCCCCCTGTTCTGTTATATTTTTAAGGGCATAACAGCTGTGCTAAGAAGGGCTTACTCCTTGCCCTATGCCCAGGATCATTCCTGGCAGTGCTCAGATTTAATATGTGATGGGAGGAATATCAAACCTGGGCCAGCAGGGTACTGGGCAAAGCCTACCTGTTGTACCATCTGTCTGCCACCACACACCCCGCTTCCAGTCTTATTTTAATTTTAATATGTCCTACCCCGATTTCAAGATCAATCTTAATAACCATTCCCAAGCAGAGAGACTGGAAGATAAAGTAATCTTCAGAAGTAAAGAATCGAGAGAGAGAGAGAGAGAGAGAGAGAGAGAGAGAGAGAGAGAGAGAGATGCTGAAAAACAATTTATGAGGGAAAAGAATTTGAAACAGTACAATCTACATATGCCTAACAGTAATTCCAGGGAGGCAGGAAAAAGAAATAAAGGTAGACATTTACAGTATTATTTTAAAATAAAATCTTGGGGCTGGAGGAATAGCACAGCCGGTAGGGCATTTGCCTTGCACGCAGCCAATCCGGGTTCGATTCCCAGCATCCCATATGGTTCCCCGAGCACTGCCAGGGGTAATTCCTCAGTGCAGAGCCAGGAGTAACCCCTGTGCATCACTGGATGTGACCCAAAAAGCAAAATAAATAAATAAATAAATAAATAAAATAAAATCTTACCAGAGTTTTCTCTTTTGTTTTTGGGCCATATCAGGTTATACTCAGGAATTATTCTTGGCAGACTCAAGAGATGAAATGTGGTGCCAAGATAGAACCCAGGCTGGCCACATATAAGACAAGCGCCCTACCCCGTGCGCTATTGCTCCAGCCCCTCTTTCTAGAGCTTTAAAAAGAAACTGAAGGTCTTCAACCAAAGGCTGGAATGCATGATTTGCATTCTGGAGTCCAGGTTTGATCTCCTGCACCATCTGGTCCCCAAAGTACCACCTAAACACAAAAATTGGGAGTAGCCCCAAGCACTGCCGTATGTGGCCCCAAAGAAGAATAAAATAAATAAAAATGCATAACTCTGAGGGCCAGAGTGTCAGTGGGGTTAGGCTCTTGCCCTGCACGAAGTTAACACTGGTTCAATCCTAGGCACTGCATATGGTCCTGTAAGCGAGGGTGGGATGATCCCGAACAGAGCCAGAAATAATCCCTACATAGCACTAAGTATGGCTCAAACCCATACTTCCCCCACTCTACCATGTAACTTTAAAAACAGGATTTGCATTAACAGTGCTTACCAACAATGATGTTTGTTAGTTTTAAAAACATGTTTTAGTTATTTGACCTACCTTACTCAGAGGGGCTTTGATTTTTTTCAAGCACAAAGCAAGAAGTTCCCTGGATTCTAGTGCACACTGTATCCAAGTTCCTGGTGGCTGAAAATATCTAACAGAAAAGATAATATGGTAAAACCCAGTATCTCTCAAGAAAAATAAAAATTTCCATCTGAATATATATATCAATGATTATTAACTAGAAATTATATCCAAGACTGATCTGAAACACACAACCCAAATGTATACATATATATTTATATTTATGTATATGACCAATAATTAGTTTAAAAGATAATGTTAAAGTCTGAGTGTGTAATCCTCCCTTAAAGTACTGATCTCTGGGAATAGCTGGACTCTACACAGGATAGAGTAGTACAGAAACATACCTTTGGCATTGTTTGCAGAAAGAAATAGTGACTTGTTTTGGAATGCCTTGGCTGATGTCTACTTTACTTCGCAAACAGGCAACACAAATATTGGCAGGGTTTGGACTAATAGGGATGCCGCACTCACAGCACAAGCTTGAATAAAGCACAAATTTTAAATTAAACTTCATAAAATCACTAAATTATACTATCATGAAATGTACTGAGACAAAAAATATCCCTCCCATAGAAAAAAATTACCCAACAAGTCAAAGCCTTCAAATTTAGGCCATAGTTGTCCATAAAAAATTACAGAGCAATATTCAATAATGTAGTAACTAAGAAACAACTCTGAATTTCTGGGGGAAAAAGAAAAAAAAAAGACGTTTCAATTTTAAAAATCTGTAAACTACAGCGTTCTTGAGTCAGCACTGTCAAACAGAAGTCAATGCTGTATCAACCACTGCCCCGCGCCCCCCCCTCCCCCAATACACAGTGCTCTGACCCCAATTACAACACAGGTCTCTTAAAATCCTTGATGATTACTAAGTGATAAGGGCATTAGAAGTCGCTTCTGTTCAACTGAAATAACTCTGGGTAGGCTCCAGGAGTAGGAGTATAGCATGTAGCATGTTCGACTCTTCTGAAGTCAAGTATTTACTACAAAAAAACTTTGCAACTCAAAATGAATTCCCTTTTCTCAGAAAATAATGCTTTACTCTTTTCCCATTTAAGACAAAACATTGCCCCCATCGAGGAAAGATTTACCCACAGAAGTTTCAGATTCACTTCAACGTCTTCAAAATTACGGGGATGTTTAAAAAAACATATAAACTGCATCACCTCAAGTCACAAGGGTGCAAGACTACAGACGATCTGTAGCTCTGATAGACATACTATAGACATAAACCGTCTCTATCCTACTCAATTCACCATTAAAAAATCTAAGTCCCTGTCAGCTAAGGGGGCAGGTTGGGTGGGGGTGAGGGTGGGGGAGGCTTGGGGACTTTGGTGGAGGGAAGGTCACACTGGTGGTGGGCTGGTGCTGAAGCACTGAATACCTAACGACTGTATTATTAAGAACTTTGTAAATCACGGTATCACAGTATTTAAATACAAGTCAAACATTAGGGGGGAAAAATTTTGTTTAAAGGCCCAAGTCACCAGCCAGTTGACCATTACGTGAATTTAAGAGGAGACAGGAACAGGCCGGAGCGATAGCACAGCAGGTAGGGCGTTTGCCTTGCACGCGGCCGACCCGGGTTCGATCCCCGGCATCCCATATGGTCCCCCCAAGCACCGCCAGGAGTAATTCCTGAGTGAAGAGCCAGGAATAACCCCTGAGCATCGCTCAAAAAGCAAAAAAAGAAAGAAAAAAGAGGAGGCAGGAGGGAGGGATGACTTACATGTGTGCGGGGGTGTGGACGGTCGATTCGGTCATGTACTCCATCGCTCTGGAGACGCTGGTTCTCAAAGAGAAGAACCGTGGACCGTGGGCGTTATTTCACTTAGCTCTCCGCCTCCTCGTCCTGACAAACGGGAAAAGCTGCCGAGAGTGAGCGCGTCGTACCCCTGCCGGAGTCCCTTCTTCAGTACCGAGTTCAAAGCTCCCCACGGCCCTGGCCGCGGACTTCCACCCGCCGCCGCTGACAGCCGGACCCTCGCCCCTCCCGCGGCGGCCCGGACCCACCCTGGAGGCGTCCCCGGCGCCCGGGCACGACCCGAGACGGCAAACAGGACACGAGCCAGACGCTCCTGGGGGACGGCTCACGCGGTCTGGGCCTGCGGGGCGCACACGTGGCCCCCAAAGCCCGCCGGAGCCCCGGGAAGGCCTCCCCGTCGTTGCCGCGGCGTTCTCTAGGGTCGACACTAGGCTCCTCGGACCCCCGAACTTACCTGGCGCCTCTGTGCCGTCCCCGGATGCAAAGACGAACCGCAGAGACTCACACGACGCCCCGCTCTAACAGGTCGCCGCCATGACAGTACAGGTCTCGCGAGAGAAGAGTAGTACTCTCGCGATACGAGCAAGAAGTGTTCATAGGCCGAGTGGAGTTGGGGGCGGGTCTGTAGCCGCCCCGCCCCGGACGGACCTGGAAGAAAACTTAAGGATGAGTTGAGCTCATCCTTAAGCGCTTGAGATTTGCAGCAAGGATGTCCCAACTGCTCTTTTCGTGTTATCCATCTTTCCTACTTCCCCCAGCCAGAGATTATTCCAAGCTAACATCACCCATATAAATATACAAAGATCGTTTACGTTGTCCCAGTTGAAAAATGCAAATCAAAATGACAACGAAGTCATCACACACCTGTGATGTGTGTACCTGCATCAAGAAGACCAGAAACAAATGGAAAAGGAAACTCATTTATGTAGGTGAGATTGTTCTCTGATTCAGCCTCTCTGGAAACCATAGAAATACTTATCGAAAATAATTAGAAACGATATATGACACATCTCCTTTATTCCTTGGCATCTGTCACAAGAACATAAAAACGGTAATTCCTAAAGATGTATACAAATTCCCATCAACAGCTGGAAAGATAAAGAAATTATGATTCGTGCACACAAGAAAATATACTTAACCAAAGAAAAGATGAAACCTTGCATACTACAGCTTGGATGAAACAGAGGGCGTCATGCCAAGCAAAGTGAATTACAAGGAGAAAGATTTTTATCTCTTTCTTAAATGATTTAAAATTTTCATGGTAGAGATCTCCCACCTCTTTTGTTTATACCTAATTATTTGATGGTTTGGGGCACTTATTTTATTTTTGCTTTTTGGGTTACACCTGGAGATGTTCAGAGATTACTACTGGCTTTGCACTGAGGAATCACCCCTGGCAGTGCTCAGGGGACCAGACGGGATGCTGGGAATCGAACCCCGGTCGGCCGCATGCAAGGCAAACACCCTACTCGCTGTGCTATCACTCCAGCCCCTTGGACACTCTTTTAAATGAAACAGGCTTTTTCATCGCTTTTCCCTCTAATTAATTATTTGCGTATAAGAATGCAACTGCTTCTTTGTATTTGGTCCACACCTGGCGGTGCTCAGGACTTACTGCTGGCTCTGCTCAGGGATCACTCTTCACAGGACTCAAAGGACAATGTGGGCTCCCAGCGAATTGAACCCAGGTCTGCTCTGTGCAAGGAAAGCGCATCCTACCAGCTGTACTGTCTCTCCAACTTCACTTGATTTTTTTTACTCCCGCCCCCTTGCAACTGATTTTTGTGTATTGACCTTGTAGGCGGCCATTTGGCTGTATTGTTTCTAGGAGGTTTTATTTTTTATGACTTCTTGAGGGTCTTCTGTGTATATTGTCATTTCATCTGGAATAGTGATAATTTGACTCTTCTTTTCCAATTTTGATTCTTTGATTTCCTTTCCCTGAATGATTGCTGTAGCAAGGACTTCAAATATCATGTCAATAAACAAACTTTTTGATCTATGCCATTATCATTAGTGAGAGATAACTCTATGTTGTTTTGATTTGCCTTTCCTTAATCATAATTATAATGAGCACTTTATCATATTCCTATTTGCATAACTTCTTCTGTGAAGGATATATTCATCTCCTCTCCCCATTTTTGGGTAAGGCCTCTGAACTTTTTTGTTGTTGAGTTTGTGAGTGCTTTATAGATCTTGGACACCTTTATCTAATGTGTTGTCTACAAATATTTATTTGCAGGATGCCTTTTCCTTCTTTTCCTCCTATCTTCTTCCCTCCCCCCCCCTCCCACCGCCATGTTTAGGACTGCTTTAGCTATTTGGGAAGTTTTATGGTTTCATACGAATTTGGTAGATTTTTCTCCAAGTCTTTGAAAAATGTCATTGAAACTTTAATGGGTATTGCATCCAATCTTTATAATATATTGGGTAAGAAGGTCATTTTGACAATATTGATTCTTTCAGTCCATACACAGGGAATGATTTCCATTTTCTAATGTCCTCATATTTCTCTTAGCAGTGATTTATAAGTTTTCACTCTATTAGCCTTCTGCTTCCCTTGTTAAGTTAATTCCTAGGTACTTGGTGCTTTGGGATACTATTTTGGGTTGGGGGCCCACATATGGCTGTGCTGAGCTTACTCGTGTCTCAGTGCTCAGGGGTAACTTCTGGTGGGCTTGGAGAACCATTTCTCCATTCAAGCCAGGGATTGAAGCCAGGTCGGCCGTATGCAAAGTAAATTCCCTGCCAGCTGTACTATTGCTCTTTCTCTTCTAGTCAATTATTTGCATCATGCAAATAATTCCAATTCATGGAATGCCGTGGATTCTTGAGCATTAATTTTGTAAACTGCTATCTTACTGTATTAGTTTATTGTTTCTTAGGGTTTTTTGGTTGAGTCTTTAAGATTTTCAACATGTATCATCATGTCATTGAGGTGCAGTAACTTTGATTTTTTAAATTTTATTTTTACAAAGTTCACTGTCACTGTCCTCCCGTTGTTCATCTATTTGCTCGAGCGGGCCCAGTAATGTCTCCATCTTGAGACTTGTTGTTACTGTGTATGGCATATTGAATATGTCATGGGTAGCTTGCTGGGCTTTGCCGCGCGGGCAAGATACTCTCGGTAGCTTGCCAGACTTTCCGAGAGGGATGGAGGAATTGAACCTGGGTCGGTTGGGTCCGTCAGGTCGGCTGCATGAAAGGCAAATGCCCTACCACTGTGCTATCGCTCCAGCCATAAAGTTGTTCACAATAATTGATTACATTCAATATTTCAACGCCAATTCCACCACCTTCCACCACTATTATTTCAAATTTTCCCACCACCACCCAAGCTTACCCCAAATGCAGATGCTAAATAATTTATTTTGTATTGATTGTTACGAATAATTGACTAAAAATGTTCAGGGGGCTGGAGTGATAGCACAGCAGGTAGGGCATTTTCCTTGCACGCGGCCAACCTGGGTTTGATTTCCAGCATCCCATATGGTCCCCCGAGCACCGCCAGGAGTAATTCCTGAGTGCAGATCCAGGAGTAATCCCTGTGCATCGCCGGTGTGACCCAAAAAGAAAAAATAAATAAATAAATAAAATGTTCAAAAAAAGCATTTCTTAGAGGAAAGTGTATGAAAATTGTTGTATTTTATCTTGGAACCAGTAAGCCCCTGTATAAGAAATCATTTATATTATTTTCAGAGAACCTTCAAATAACTGTGATTTTCAACTATAAATTTCACTCATCTGTTCACTTTCAATTTTTTGGAAAAAACTTTTTTTTTTTTTGCTTTTTGGGTCACACCCAGTGATGCACCGGGGTTACTCCTGGCTCTGCACTGAGGAATTACCCCTGGAAATGCTCCGGGAACCATATGGGATGCTGGGAATCGAACCCGGGCTGGCTGCGTGCAAGGCAAATGCGCTACCCACTGTGCTATTGCTCCATTGCTCCAGCCCCTGGAAAAAACTTTGATAAGTAGTAGTTGAACTAAGAAATGGTGGACCATATTTATAGTCTTTATGCAAATTATAGTTAGGAATGTGTGGTTATATGTTTTAAGAAGGCCCCCACGCTTGGCTGTCCTCGCCGGGGCCCCTTGGAGGGGGGCAGGTTGAGTTTCCCTCCCCGCCCTGAACAGAGCCCCAGCAGCCGAAGACCTCCAGAACCAGCCACCACCATGCTGAGACCACTCTCCACACACATGAAGGCACTGGCAGAGGAACACCAGCATGCGGGTCCTGGGCCTGAGATCTCCAAACCTGCTCAGATAGGGGCTGAGTATTCTCCACCCAGATCCTCCATCTTCCAATAGGCAGGGGTCACACCCACCAACTGCCCCCAGTGCCAGTAATCCCATCAACGGCCAAGACCCAGAGACTATAAAACCCAGCTCCCGGAAGCGCATGGTCACACAACATCTTACTATCTCGTTCTTACTTTGGACAACCTGGCAGACTACCGAATGTACAATGCCCACACGGCAGAATCTGGCAAACTTCCCAATATGCCAAATACCAGTAACAATGATGGGTCTCATTCTCCTGACCCTGAAAGAGCCTTGAATATGGCACTTTTTAAAATCTCAGGGCTAGAACGAAGGAGACGTTACTGGTGCCTGCTCGAGGCAATTGACGAACAACAGGATGATCATGATCATGATCGTGTTTTAAGAATTAAGAGAAAAAAATTAAAAAGAAAACTAAATTTAAAACTTTTTAAAAGAAAAATAGAATTAAGAGCAGAAAACAATTTGCTGATACAAATGATATGACCCCATTGACTTAGAGTGACTTACTAAAAATGTCTTTTTCTGAGAGGTGGGTTTGTCTCTTTAAAATACAACACCCTTTGATAGTTCTTTTGTGGGAATGGAAATAGTCATTGGTATATGAACTTGGTACAACTTTTTCAGTAAAGTTTATGAGCCTAAGTGGATGATCTCATACCCACAGATATTTATAAAGAGTCAAGGGCCAAACAATCACATAGAGTTAACCCCAGTATTTTATTTTCTTGAGTTGTTACTCTTATTATAATGGGGATTTAGATCAGATTTGCTCAGCTGAAAGTAGAAAAATCCTTCTGAGTTTTAAGAAATTGTAAGCATATATCATGTCCCAAAAGCCTGTCAGGAGTGATCCCTGAGCATAAGCCCAGACCACTGCTGGATGTGGTCCCAAAACAAAAACAAACAAACAAAAAGGATTCTAAAGTGTCCATCCCATTGGTACCTTTTTTTTTGGTTTTTGGGTCACACCAGCAATGCACAGGAGTTACTCCTGGCTCTGCACTCAGGAATTACTCTTGGCAGTGCTCGGGGGACCATATGGGATGCTGGGGATCAAACCCGGGTTGGCCACGTGCAAGGCAAATGCCCTACCTGCTGTGCTATCGCTCCAGCCCCCCCAGGTACCTTTTAACCTAAAAAAAAAAAAAAAGAAGTCGGGGCCGGAGCCATAGCACAGTGAGTAGGGCATTTGCCTTGCACACGGCCGACCCAGGTTTGATCCCCGGCATC